GAGGTGGGGCCTCCATCCCAGGGGCTGACAGGGTCCCCAGGACGCTGTGGGCTGCATCCCGGAGCCCACTGAACATCAGAGGGCAAGAGAATGCTTCTGGCATCTAACTCCAAAGATCAGAGCTCTGGTGGTAAGGCCGGTGGAGGAGGCAGACAGGCAGCCGGCAGAGAAAGAAAACCACAGAGTTGGGGGGACCACTCCAGTTCTGTGAGCAATGGAGGACGCACCCACAGCCGAACCCACGTGGCTGCCCCAACAGCCTCAACACCGGCGAGAACAAAAACAAATGCATCTTTCAGCCATGGAAACAAGTAACCCAGTAACTAGCAGAAGGAAAGCGCCACGCTGACAGTACTAAGGAGAACGATGCTTAAGATGGTTTCCTGACTCACTGCCTGATAGGAAATTAATATTTTGTTAATTATACAATACAAAGTAATTGGTGATCTGAGCTATGTAATTTGGCAGCAGGCAATGTGAAAGTTTCCAGAGGATTTTTATCAGCTCAGTGAATGACGCAGCCACGGATGATCACACCTGCCCTGGAGTGCGGCAAGGCTGGACACTCAATCTACCAAATGACGCTGCACATCGATCCAGGAGATTCACCCTCAGCCTGCTCCCAGACGGGAGCCACAGAGGCGCTCCAAACGCACGGCACACGGACGGAAGCCACACAGAGGCGCTCCAAACGCACGGCACACGGACGGAAGCCACAGAGGCGCTCCAAACGCACGGCACACAGACAGAAGCCACAGAGGCGCTCCAAACGCACGGCACAAGGACGGGAGCCATGGAGGCACTCCAAACGCACAGCACACGGGCGGAAGCCACACAGAGGCACTCCAAACGCACGGCACACGGACGGGAGCCACAGAGGCACTCCAAACGCACAGCACACGGACGGGAGCCACACAGAGGCACTCCAAACGCACAGCACACGGACGGGAGCCACGGAGGCACTCCAAACGCACAGCACACGTACGGAAGCCACAGAGGCGCTCTAAACGCACGGCACACAGACGGAAGCCACAGAGGCGCTCCAAACGCACGGCACACAGACGGAAGCCACGGAGGCGCTCCAAACGCACGGCACACAGACGGAAGCCACGGAGGCGCTCCAAACGCACGGCACACAGACGGAAGCCACGGAGGCGCTCCAAACGCACGGCACACAGACGGAAGCCACAGAGGCGCTCCAAACGCACGGCACAAGGACGGGAGCCACGGAGGCACTCCAAACGCACAGCACACGGGCGGAAGCCACAGAGGCGCTCCAAACGCACGGCACACAGACAGAAGCCACAGAGGCGCTCCAAACGCACGGCACACGGACGGGAGCCACGGAGGCGCTCCAAACGCACAGCACACGTATTCAAACCAGCGTGAGCATTTTCTGAAGACAGAACATCTGTGTCAAAAGGAAAACAATACTACGTAGAAACCAAGCGGAAATGATAAAAAGGAAAGACACGGTGTCTGCTCCCGGGTGACTGCCTGAGAGCCTCGGCACCGGCACCGGCCGGAGCCGCCACAGGATGGGCTGGGCCTTCCAGCGCTGGGCTCCGGGCTCCTGCCTGCGGCTAGCAGCGCTGCGTGTTCCCATCTCCTACACAATTGCTGGAAGTTCTAAAAATATTTAAATCAGGCATGATTGAATTAGCGTGCTCTGTTCTACACACGGAGTTAACGACGCCAATCCCGTGCTACATGGGGAGACACTGAGGGAAGTGATTTAAACCCTCTGTAAATTTTATTCGAAAATTAACGAGGAGCACCTCATTCATAATTTCTAATTAAAACGGCTCTAATTAACATCCACGTTCATCAGCCAGCCACCTGCCGCACACGCGCCACTCGGACGCAGTGGCCGCGCGGAGCCAGGAGGGAGATGGGCAGATACCGCAGTGGCGCCGCCGCATTTATTCTGGGAAGCACCGCTCACCTGAGCCAGGCAAGCCCGCCAATCACTTCATCTCCAGGCAGCTCCTCGCACTCCAGCTGCCGCGAGCAAAATCTCTAAGGACTTCAGAGCAGTGCTTTAAAAAACATCAGTTTGCGGAGAAGAGTCTAGAAAGTGTCCATTCAACTGACAAAGGAGCAGCGTGGCGCCTCCCTTCCTGCCAGAGCTGTGACATCCTCAATCCAGCCTCACAGGCCCTGCTGCCCTTGCACACTCACCAGCTCTGAAGCACAGCTGCGGCGCATCTGCTGGCCAGACCGTGTGGTCGAAGGGGGCGAGGGGCCCTCCAAGCACCATCAGTCCTGGCCGCAGACACCCCCCACCCAGTGCCACCACTCAGATCTCAAGAGGACGCACACAGATGGGTCAGGAGTGGGCCCTCGGCCAGCAGGAGTGAGGAAGGACAGTGGAAGGGCAGCAGGTCCCAGGCGCTGGGTCAGGGTGGCTGCCTGCGTGCCAAGGGCTAGGGTCATGCGCCACGGAGGAGCGGTGCTGGTAGCTCCACCATGTGGGGTGTGAGACGCTCACGTCAGTCACTCAGAAGCTCAGAGACAGCTAACAGCATTGGCAGGGTCCCCGGGACCTGGTGGGTGGGAGCAGGAGCAGCTGGGGTCCTTCAGGTGGCCATGTCCTGCCCAGCACTCTCCTGCATGGCCTGGCCCACACCCATCTTGTGGGCCCTGGCCCCCACAGACCAGGCCCTGAATACAGCACCCCCGAGCAGCCCTGTGGCAGGAGGGGCTGGCGCTGCAGCCAGGAGGGCACAGCCAGCAGGGGACCGCAGCCGGCAGAGGTCCGGGAGGCCAGCTCTCCTAAGCCCACACAGGGCAGGGGCCAGGCTGAGCTGAACACTCACGGAAGAGCATGCAGGGCCCCTGGCACAAGGGAGTTTGCATCCACTAGGGTGAGGTGGAGCTGTGGGTGCAAGTCAGCCATGGCCGGGAGCCTGCAGGCCTTGCCGGTACCGCGGCTGTGCTGAATTAGAGTCCCGACTCGGAGAGCAGCAGCTCCTCATCCTCACTCAAGTAGGCCAAGCTGCCAGCAGCCCTGGAGGCTGCCCGGACGCACTTCCACCAGCCAGCCCCAGCTGGGGGCCGTCCCAGACGCTGTGGAGGTATGAGATGCAGGCAGGGGGAGCACCAGACATTCCAGAAGGTTCCACTGCCAGAACCTCAGGCCAAGGAGAGTCACCTGGCTGCCCCAGCCCCAGCACTGCTGCTGGTACTAAAAGGACTGTGCCAGCTGGAGGGGCCCAGGCCTGATGAGACTAGACCATGCCACCCATCAACCCCCTCTGCTCTGTGGACCCTCACCAATAAGCCAGCTGCCCCAGGGGTTTCCACTGCCAGGCAAAGGCCCACCAGCCACCTTCAGACAAAACTGTCTGCAGACTGCAGGAGCTGCGCCAGGTGAGTCCAGGGTGGCGGCTGCACAGGGGCAGTGCCTGGTACAGGGTCTCAGCGTGAGGCTCCAGCAAGCCTCGCCCGTGCCGTGGAGACTGGGCAGTGACCTTCAAAGGGCCCCAGTGTGAGCCACAGGGAAGCGCCCTGACACAGCTGGCAGCCCCCATGCGGCCCACTCGGCAGCGGTGACAGGGGCTGCCATTGGGGCCTGATCCTGCAGCTGCCATCCTGTGGGCCTGAGTGCGCTGGGCGTGAGCAGTGGGCTCACCCCGATCCTGACATGCTGATGGCACTCACCATCTTCCCCCCCAGCCTAGACCAGCATGCTTTCTCATTGCAAAAAGTATATTTTTGTCACAACTCACAAAAGCATTTCCTCGTGGAGCGAGGTGTTGACCAGCACCCACAAACACCGCCACACACGAGCGGCGAGCAGTGCGGCCACCGGGCTCCCACACGACTATAAATTCTCCGGGAATCAGTTTCAGACTTAAAGAAGAAAAGCAAGCTCGCCCTCTGCTGGCCCCGGGGCGTCTGCACACCTCCGCCATGCTGGGGACGCGGGCCACTGACCCGGGGAAAACCACAGGCTCAGCATTTCATCCAGAGGAGCTTCCCGGCCCCCCACTTCCATGGCCCCGCACGTCTGCCGCTGTGGAACCCGACCTCTTCCTCAGCCAGGAGCACAATGTCACTTCCACCCCAAAGCTTTCCTTAACGTGGGGAGAGCCAAAAGGCCAGCATCTCCCAGGACAGCGCTGGGTTTGGGGTCCGAGTTCAGGGGTGTTGGGGTTCAGGGCTTGGGTTCCCTGAGGGAGAGGCGCCTGAGAGACAGCACTGCTGTGCGAGCCCAGGGTGGCCGCGGTGTGCCTCCAGTCCCAAGGCCTGACTGCTGGGTGCCGCCAAGGACATCTGCAGAGGACCCCAGCTCTCAGGCCCTTCCAGGCACTGAGGCCCGGATTTCCATTCTGTGCTCAGGCAGTTTAAGGCCCTGGCACAGCAGCGTGCCGGGCACCGCCACCCTCAACCGGCTCCAACACGCCCAATGCGACGGTCTCTGCTCCCAGCTTCACCCCGCCAGAGGCACCCCATACCTCCCTCCAGCCTCCAGCCCCTCATGGTGGCCCTGCCCCTTCTAACCCTATGCTCCTTGCTCAGGGAAGTGCAGTGCCCCCTACGACCCTCCCAAGCCCCTCGCAAAGCTCAGCAGACAGTAACCCAAGTCTCCACCCCTAAGTGCACTGGAGCCCGCGGTGACCCTCTTGGCCGTCTGAGGGCTTGCCGGGGGTCTCTCCTCTGGTGGACACAGTGCCCGCCAGGACAGGCGCCGCATTGCGGATGACTCCCTAGAAGGAGTTGTGGGGGCACAGCCTGACTGGTGGCTTCCTGGAGGCACGAGCAGCACTCAGCACCTCTGCTCAGCTACCATACACGGCAGCCGGGCAGCACCCAACAGCTGCACCATCCCCTCTGCCACGGCGACGACCCTGGGCTCACAGGAAGCCCTTGCTGGGGCTGAGTGGGCTTGGAGTGTGGTTGGGTTCTGCCAGGCCCACAGGCCCAGGGTGCAGCCCGCCACAGCTTCTCCTCCCCCACTGAGGCCTTCTGGGACGCCTTCCCGCTTGCCCACTCACCCTGTGCCTCTGCCCTCCCTTGGGCTCGATGTCCAGCTCCTTGTATTTTCTCAGTGCACGCTCCAATTCCGCCTTCAGGTCAATGGCGCGCTTTAAACATCCACCGTGGGTCCCAACGCGGGTGAAGCGCTGCAAAACGGGGGTGCGAATAGCTCAGGGGCCTGGCCGGCAGGCCCCAGGAAGCCATCCCGCCGGGAGGCACACGCCAGGTCCACCGGACCAGGGGGTCTCTGGTACACCTGGGGTGCAGAGGACGAAGCTGCAGGTGAGGGACAGAGCCCTTGCGGGTCAGGGACCTTTCAAGTCACCAGACCACGCCCCCGGGCCACAGCGCCCCCAAGAAAGGGACCCCCCACGCCTGGCGCTCTGCACACGGCCCTCCACCCACAGGTCCCAGGTTTGAGGCTCACCTGGATCCACGAGCACACGGCCGGCAGGAACTTGTTCCAGATGAGCTTGAGTGTGTCGCGGGCAGCGTGGACGACAGCGAGGTTGTCCTCATTTTCCTGCACCTTCGGGCCCTCTGGGGAGAGGCACACAGAGGTCACCCGAGGGTGCCGGCTGGCATCTCCCACAGGCCCCGGAGAGGCGGACCACGTAGTGAAGGCTGCTCTAGCCTGAGGGGAACCTGCCAGATGCCCATGCCTGCCCCCAGGAATCCCAAACCTGATGCTGTGAGAAGGAAGTGTTTTATGATCTTAGAAAAGAACACTGTGGCTTCACACCGAAGCCTCCCCTCACACACAGCTCCACTGCCTGTGTCTCAATCTCCTTGGCTGCAGCCATCCCATCTGGAGGGGCAAGACCACCCATGGCCTCTTCTACTCACTCCCCCCACCCGCCAGGCACAGAACCTTCCCCTCCACAGACTACCCCACAGGATGGGGCCTGCCCAGTCCAGCCTCACCGGCCCCCACCCACCCTGGCCTCTCCTCCGCCGGACACCCCAGCTCCAGCTCTGCTCTGCTGTGGCTTCCCCCACTGTGGCACGCTCAGCGTCCAGCACAGGGCTGAGCTCTGTGCAGGCAAGGACAGCCCTGGGCTGGCAGCAGCGGTGTCCACCCCGCACAGGCCTGCAGCCTCACTGCTGAGGCACCTCCGGGCAGCTGAGCCCTGAGGATCAGTTCTCCCAGCAGCTTCCCAGCCCGGCTGCCTCCTGGCCCTGGTGAAGGGACACCAGCTGTGCCTGCTTCCAAAGAAGCAGGTTCCTCAAAGAAAGCGATTTGAAGCCATGCACAGACCCAAAGGGCCCCAAGGGGGGCATCAGTGGGGTTGGGAGGAAGCTGGGGCAGGGGGAGCAGAGGGCAGCTGCGTCTCAACAACCCTCACCCACCCAGGCTGCAGTGCCAAGGTTGCGAGTGGCCATTTCTGGATCACATTTTCCTCCCAGCAAGGGTCGGTGCCACCTGACCCCTCACGGCAACACGGGACCGTGACAGGCCTGTGAGCTGGCAGGACGCCCACACAGCCTGCCCAGGGCTCCTGGTCACTTGGTGGTCAGGCCTGTGCTCCCTCATCCTTCGAGGACCACACCAGCCTCGAGACCCCACCTCACCCCAATTCTGCGGGTCCTTGCTCTGTCCACAGCCTCGCTGAGGTGGGGGCTGCCATGAGCTCTCAGAAGTGTCTCCGTGGCCACAGAGGCCTGGCATGGGTAGGGGGATCCCAGTGCAGAGGCCACACAGAAAGGAAAAACCTGGTGATGACCCCTGATCTAGCCCCCCAGGGGAGGCCCCTGCAGTCCAAAGCTCCGGGACCGGGTGCCAGTGAGGGAGGGGCACCTGGGAGCTGGGGCAGGGCGGCGCCGCAAAGATCCCGGGAAGGCAGTTACCTGAGCAGAGCTCCACGTCCAGCGTGTACTTGTGTGAGCCAAGCCCGTGGCTCCGCACAAATTCCTCGAGGTCACTGTCCTCATCCTCATCTGAGGGGTCATCTGTGGCTGTCTGGGGTGGCTGTGCCCTGCCGCCCACTCTGGGGTGGCCTGCAGAGGCAGGCAGGTCTCTACTGCAGCAGGGCTGCTCCCCGTCCCAGGGGTCAGGGGTGCCAGACCAGTAAGGGCCCACCTGGTCCGCGCAGGAGGAGTGAAGGGCATCAGACATGCCGGAAGCCACGCCAAGTGATTCTGTCTCCGGGTTTGGGTCAAAGTCAAAAGGCACCAGCAGCCTAAAGCAGCTCTCTACCTCCGTCAGGCAGGATTCAATTTCTCCAGACATTTCTGCCAGAAGATCAAGACACCCGTTTGCATCACCATGTGGAGCAAAAGCACCAGCCCACCCAAAACCACAGCCAGAGGCCCACTCCCCGCAGGGCGTCACTTTTCAGGTGGAATGTAGTGGTACAATCACAGCTTACCCCAGCCTCAACCTTCCAGGCTCAGGTAGTCCTCCTGCCTCAGCCTCCTGATTAGCTGGGACTACAGGCACGTGATACCATCAACTAATTTTTTTGTAGAGACAGGGTCTCGCTATGTTGCCCAGGCTGGCTTCGAACTGCTGGACTCAAGTGATCCGCCCGCCCTGGCCTCCCAAAGTGCTGGGATGACAGGTGTGAGTCACTGCGCCCGGCCGTGCAGTGCACTTTTCAACTGCTTCCTAAAGCACCCAGCTCAGCAGCTGGGCTTGCAGGCAACCTCTCTGCACCCCTGGGTAGCGAGCACGAGTGTGCAGGGAGGTCAGCCCGCCTGCACTTCCCAGGACACGGCTGCATCTCCTTCCTGGGGCAACAAAACAGCTTTGTTCATGCCACAACTCTCGGGCTGGAGCAGCTTTCCTCCTGGCGGCCTCCTCATCGTCTAGATGCCTGGCTGCCTGCCTTATGGGTTCCCCTGAGGCCTGTGTTTCCCAGAAGTGGCCTGTGGCAGGGCCCGCGTCTGGAACCACAGTCTGTCAGGGGAAGGATCTGGGGCACATGTAGTCTGAAGACACGGCTGTGCCTCCACCCATGCCAGGAGGTATCTCAGGAGGGCCGTGGCACCCCCTCCTCACACCATCGTGATGGCACTCACGAGAAAGGCTGACTGCCGGGAAGCAAACGGTGGAGTTTTGGGGAAGGGGCTGGCAAGGCAGTCACAAAAAAAACAAGTGGCAGGGCCTTCAGCCAGGCTGGGGCTCAGACCACTGCCCACAGGCACACCTGTGCCCGGTATCTCTGTCCAGGGGTCTGCGCAGCAAACGGGCGTGGGTGAACGTGACCACCAGAGGGCGCGGGAGAGGCATGGACGGCCCAGGAGGCCCCTGCAGGGTGCTGGGCGGGGTCCTATGGCTGAGAATGCCTTCCAGCCCGACGTGAATCATCTCCACCTAGCCTGTCTCAAAACCTGGGTCCCTTGCGGCCGGGGCCCTGGGACCAGGAGAATGAACTGCCAGACCACGGGCAACCCCCAGAGGTGTGGGCCCCTCCCTCTGTCCTGGGCACTTGCCTTGCATCTCCCTCTCCGCCTGGCTGGCTCTTTCTTGGTAAATTTTATCCAAGTGCTTCTGCTTCTCTTCTTCTCTCTTTCTTTCTGCCAGAGTCCGAGCATTTGTGTCTTGAAAATCCACCTGAGCAATTGAAAATAAAGACTAGGGTCGGCCGAGCGTGGTGACTCATGCCTGTCATCCCAGCACTTTGGGAGGCCAAGGCGGGCAGATCATGAGGTCACAAGTTCGAGACCAGCCTGACCAACATGGTGAAACCCCATCTCTACTAAAAATACAAAAATTATGCTGGGCGCGGTGGCTCATGCCTGTAATCCCAGCACTTTGGGAGGCCAAGGCGGGTGGATCACAAGGTCAGCAGATCGAGACTATCCTGGCAAACACGGTGAAACCCCGTCTCTACTAAAAATACAAAAAATTACCCAGGCGTGGTGGTGGGCGCCTGTAGTCCCAGCTACTCGGGAGGCTGAGGCAGGAAAATGGTGTGAACAAGGGAGGCGGAGCTTGCAGTTAGCTGAGATCGCGCCACTGCACTCCAGCCTGGGTGACAGAGTGAGACTCCATCTCAAAAAAAAAAAAAAATAGCTGGGCATGGTGGCAGGCGCCTGTAGTCCCAGCTACTTGGGAGGCTGAGGCAGGAGGATCACTTGGACCAGGGAGGTGGAGGTTGCAGTGAACCGAGATCGCACCACTGCACTCCGGCCTGGGGGACAGAGCGAGACCCTGTCTCAAAAACAACAACAATGACCATAACAAAAACTAGGGCCATCTATACAGAATGTGAGGAAGATAAAGCTCAAGTAAGCCTAACAAAAGACACAGCATTCACGTGTGACCGGGAGCCCTGCACATCTGTAAGTTCACAGTGGGGTTTTTTTTTTTTTTTTTAAAGACACGGGTCTTGCTGTGTTGCCCAGGCTGGACTCAAACTCCCAGGGCCAGGTGACCCACCAGCCTCAGCTTCCAGAGTCAGTGGGACTACAGGTGTGCACCCTCACCCCCAGCTATTCACGGTGCATTACAACAAAACACAATGCACACCTCTCTGCTGTCGGAGCCTGGGAACGCCAGCACATCTGCTAACTCAAAAGAGGCGACGAGACTTCTCACCGCAAGTACCTCACAGGTAGGCAAGCAGTGTGCTTGTTCCATTGGCAGGCAGGGGCTGCTGACTGGACCCAGGGGTCTGAAACAACCCCTGAGCATGAACCCTGGGAGACAGGGCACTCCAAGGGCACACAGGGAAGCCAGTGGGTCCGGGTCATTGCACTGGGGAGGCCTGAGCCTTCGTGGCAGGTGGGGTAAGGGGCACGGTGGGGTAAGGGGCACGGTAGGGTCTGGGCAATGAGGCTGGGTTCAGGCCACAGCAGCAGATCCTGGTGGGTTTCATCATGCCAGGAACCAGCCAGAGCCCACAGCAGGATCCGGGTGGAGCCTTAAAGTGCAAGGTTGGGACAGGTCCCAGAGTCCAGGGGCCACTGCCATAGAAAATGCTGCATCTGAGAAGTTGGATTTGGCTTTTCCTTTGTCTCCTACACACACATAAAAAATTACGCATGCAACCTCAGCTCCATCCACACACACAGCTTATGCTCTTCCTCTCAGAGCTGCACCGCCCTCTCAGGGAGGCCCTGACCCCAGCTGCTGTCCACTTTCCCACATTCCACGGACGGTCTGGCAGCCGGGGTGCTCAGGCAAGGCCAAGCAGGCCCCTGCCATGCCAGGTCCGACAGGAAGTGCATCTTCACCCTGGTACAGTCTGCCCTCCTCATGTCAGGTAACCAGAGTCTCTGAGAAAATGGGCCAGGCCCACCTACCTTTTTGTTGTGTCTTAAGAAGTGGTAGCCCAAGGCAAGCTTCTTGTAGGCCTCCCCGAACTTCTCATTCCACCCTTCCACGGCCCGGGTGGCTGCCTGCCTCAGCCTCTGTGCCGCCTCCCTGGGGGGTGGCAGAGGCTGTGCGGGATCCGTGCCCAGCGTGAGCTCCAGGAACTCCTGGAAGTTGGAAACAACCAGCATCCGGAACTGGTGAGACCTGGCAAAGAGTTCGTCCACGATCTGGAAGGCTGAGAGGCGGATCTCCGCGTGTTCCTGGGTCAGCTGTGCTATCAGCAGGCGGTAGGCACGGCTCAGCTGCTCCTCTGAAGACCTGGAGATACGAGCCAGCCTGACCCAACTGCCCCGCATGCAGAGGATGGGTCGGGGGAGACTCTCCGTACAGGGATGCTGCATGCACGTGTGGCAGGGACCACCACTGCCTTCCCATCTTCGTTCTCCCCTTTTCTAGAGCAGGGTCTGCATACTGCCGCCCAAGGGCCCCATCTAGTTCCCCAGCCCCTGCCTGTTTCTGTGTGGCCCACAGGCCAAGAATGTTGAAACAAATGAAAAATACTTGGTGAAATGTGAAAATTATATAGACTTCAAATGTCGGTGGTCATTCACAAAGTTTCATTGGAATGTGGCCCATTTATCCAGCTGCATCATCTACAGCTGCGTTCACAGAGCTGAGGCCTTACAGCAAAGCCTGAAACACAAACCATCCGGCCCTTTAAACACATGCCACCCGGCACAACGCAGACCGCCCAGCACAAACGCACACCGCCCAGCACGCACACTGTTCAGCTGGGTGCCTCCTGATGCGGGAAGGAAGGGAAGGCCTAGAGCTCGGGACATCTCCCAGCCCCTCCTGAATGCTCCTCTTCCCAGCTCCTGGCCCCACATAAACCATTGCGAATTGGATTTCCTGGTGCATGCTGCAAAACCTGACGTGAAATTTTCTATTAAAATGTCAACACTCCATTACTCTATAAACAATCTGTAAGTTCTCGTTTTACAAACGCAGGATACAGGATAATGAGTGTCCTCGACTTATGCTCCACCCTCCGAGGGGAAGTTCTGCTTCCCCCATGAATCTCTGGCTGCCTGAGGGTGACCTGCAGAGATCCTGGGCGGCGTATTCCCCGGAGGGAGAAGTGAACAGGGGTGGACATACCCTAAAGGCGATGGACCAACTCGCCCATCAGCAAGCTCTATTCTCTCCCTTCGCAAAGTCCAACAGCAAAGAAAAAGACGCACGTTTCTCTCTAAATCACATATGTGCACTCAGGAAACGGGAATGAAGAGAGAAGCACCAAGCACGGAGCAGTGATGGGTCTGCAACGCCACACGCCCCAAACCCAGAACATGACCACCCATCAGAGCTGGGTACTGCAGGGCCCTGAGAAAATGTCCTGGGTGTGTCCTTGGGTGATTCTCTCCCAGGTCGGGGCAGGAGGGCAGGGCCCTGTGTGTGTCCTGGGCTCTGTGGGCCAGTCAGTTACTGTGAGTTACTAAACCCTAAGACATACTTGCAAATTTTCTTCAGTTCCTTCATTTTCTCAGGATTTAGTCTGGGTTCTCCTGAAGTTGTGAGCTCTTCTACCAACTTCGAAAGTTTCTGATCCATATCTAGAAATAGGTAAGGCACAAATGCTAAATCACCATCTGTATTTTATAGCTCTTGCTGTTATTAACGTGTTTACTGGGCTCTACTATAAACCGAAAGTTCCGGGAGGACCCTGAGCCTGGGGTCCATCTGCCGTTACCTCTGGGGGCGCCTCTCTGGGAAATGTGTCCGGCAAGGCCTTTACAGCGGTGATTACGGTCAGTTTTAAAAGTGAACCTTCAACTCGGGACCTCTACAATCCCCTGCGTGTGGGACGCTGCACTGAGGGCCGTGCGTTAAGAACCAGTGGCACTGTCCAAATCAGCTTTTGCCTAACGTGACTGTTGCTGTTTCCCTTATTCACTGATTCCGCAGGGCAGCCTCCAGCAAGGCTGCAGAGGCCAAAAGGAGCCAAGAAATTCTGAGATCAATGAAAGTCGCGCCCGGAGGCCAGGGGCGGCCCTAACGGAGACAGCCCGCCCGGAGGCCCAGGGTCGAGCACCGCGGCGTGCAGGGTGGGAAGAGGTGAGAGCCTGCAGCACTGCCAGGATAAGGCCGAAGGACCCGGAAGGAAGCGCCAGGGGAGGCCGGGGCGGAGGCTGGGGAGCTGCGCCCTACCCGGGGAAAGCAGCGGCCCGGCGGGGCCGCGGGGTCGCCCTCGCACAGCGGCTGCACCGGGCGGGCGCGCAGCCTTCGGCGGTGCTCGGGGGCTGCGGCCTGTCACTCGGCCCTGGGCCCGCCCTCCGGCCCCGCCGCCGGCGCTCTCGAAGACACGGGACACGCTCCGCCCGCAGGTCTCTGCCCGGCGCCCGCAGAGCCGCCGGTGCCGAACCTGCTCGACCCCCGCCCCCCAGCGCAACCACAGCCCCACCTACCGCTGACTCGGCGCTCGCCTCGCCCCGCCCCTTCCGGCCGGCGGACCGCCCCTCCTGTCAGGTGCCCAAGAGCTCTACAGCCATTGGCTGTCCCTGGGCCGGACGCCTCAGGCGCTGGGGTCACCACGGCGACGACTGCACCTACCCCTTGACGCGGCCGTTCTCGCTGTTGCCCCATCCTTTCCGGCAAAGGCCCCGCCCCTATCACGTGCCCTGAGCTCGGCAGCCAATGGCTCACCCTGGCCCAGGAGGCGCAGGCGCAAAGACGCGGCCGAGGTCTGCGCGGTGACGTAGGCGCGCTCCCGGCGGGGGCGGGGCAGCCTGGGAGGGGAGACACGCTAGAAAAGAGGCGGGAGGGCGCAGAAAGTCCTTAAAGGGGCTGCGGTGTGCGGGCGCCGGGGGCGGGGCCGGCCCGGAAACTGAGGCCGAAAGGAAGTTCTGGTCTGGGCGTCAACGCCACGCCTGCCCGGAGTCTCGCGGCCGGGTCCCTTCCCCTGCGGAGGGCCGGTGAGGACTGCCCAGGCGGGAGGGCGCGGGTCCCTGGACCCTGGCGCCCTAGACCACGCGGCGCCTCCCCGCTCGGGCCCGAGAAGGGAACCCCTGGGCGGGCTCGGGGGTCTTCGGGGCCCAGCTCGGCGCCAGACACACAGCAGGTACCCCTGGGCCCGGGCTGGCCCCGGGCAGAATGAGGAGCAGAGGCGCCGTCCGTCCTGCCGCCGAGGTCCGCAGCCTGGAACGGAGGGGAGTGCGAGGCCGGCTGCGGACGGACCGACCTGGAGGTGGCTCAGGAGGAACACGGTGTGCACCCCACTCGCGGGGCGCCCGGCACAGGCCACGCAGAGCAGACGCCCAACTGGGCGTCCGGGGCTGGGTGCATGGCGGGGGCCGCCGGCGGCGGGGCGGCGGGCCGGGGTTTCTTTTTCGGGGGGATGAGCGTGCCCTTGCATTGGAGTGGTGGTAGCTCACAACCCTGTTAATCGTGTTTTTGTAGGGTGGGTTTCTCAGTAAAACAGTTCTTTTAAAAAAGAAAAGAGGGACTCCCTGCGCCGCCCCTCTCTGCAGCACCAGCCTCTGTCCCTGGGCGTCAGTGGCTCCCAGCTCCTAGCCTGCAGGCACCCTGAGCCGCTCCCCCGCCTCACCCCTTCCTCACCCAGCCTCTTGCTTCACTGAGCAAGCTGGAGCCAGATCCTGCCTCAGCGCCCCTTGCCCTGTGCACCCAATCGCCGGCCTGTGGCTTCCTCCAAGACACCCATCCAGCAGTTTCCCTCTGTGTTCTACAGCAGGTTTTTTTGTTGTTATTAGTTCTCATTAGCATAAAAGGGTGCCGTTTCTCCCATACTAACAAAACCCTCTCTTTATCCGACTTCTCTCACCAATTGCTAAGTCCAGTTTCTTTTACACTGCCCCGGGGTGTCCTCTCAGCCCTCAGGCTCTACAGCACAGCCAAGCTGCGCGTCCACTGTCCACTGCCCTCTATCAGCTGATGGCCCTGCAGCCTTTTTTTTTTTTTTTTTTTGAGACGGAGTCTCGCTTTGTCACCCAGGCTGGAGTGCAGTGGCGCGATCTCGGCTCACTGCAACCTCCGCCTCCTGGGTTCAAGGGTTCAAGCAATTCTCCTGCCTCAGCCTCCCGAGTAGCTGGGATTACAGGTGCCCACCACCACGCCCAGCTCATTTTTGAATTTTTAGTAGAGACGGGGTTTCACTATGTTGGTCAGGCTGGTCTCAAACTCCTGACTTCCGGTGATCCGCCCGGCTGGGCCTTCCAGAGTGCTGGGATTACAGGCGAGAGCCACCGCGCCTGGCCTGCCCTCATCCTTCTGTTCGCTTGGACCAATTACCTGACTCACTTGGACTTCTCACTTCCTCACTCCATACCCATTTGGTTTGCAAATCCTGATAGCCCTACCCTCAGAACACATCCAGATCTGAGCAGGTCCCACTGCCTCATTGCCACTGCCAATTCCCGGCCACCCCTGCAGTGGGTCACTGCTGTCACCTCGTCTTTCACTTGTGCCCTAGACCATTATGCAGCAACCAGAGGGACCTTTGAAAGTGTAAGGTCGGATCACAGGATTGCTCCACACAGAATCCTCCTACAGCTCCCATCCCAGAGCAAAGCAAAACCTGTCGTGGCCTGCGTTTGCTGCCCCCTACATCCCACCGGTCGACTTCTCCAACCTGCGCTTGCTATCACACTGGGCCTCTGGGGAGCAGATCCTTCCGCCGGGAAGCTTCTGCCGGTATCCAGAGCTCCTTCCCCATCTCCGTCCAGCCACTGCTTATGTCTCACCCCTGAGCAAACACTTCTGCACCTTCCCGCCTCCCCGGCTCAGGACCCCCCCACCCCCCCGGCCGTTTTCTTAACCTGCTCCGCTTGTTCCCAGAGCACTTCAGGCTTTGTATCACACAGACTTCCTATCTTACTAGCTGATTCGCTTTTTTCTCTTCACCCCTAAAACATACAGTCCATAAAAATAGAGATCTTTGTTTTGTTTCATGAAGCCAGACACAAAGTAGTGCTCACTATTTGTTGAATGCTGGATAAGATTAGAAAGCCAAGATAAATCATGATAAGAATTAGACGATATTTTATTTTTTTGTTTTCATTTGAGGCGGAGTCTTGCTCTGTCGCCCAGGCTGGAGTGCAGTGACGCGATCTCGGCTCACTGCAACCTCTGCCTCCCAGGTTCAAATGATTCTTGTGTCTCAGCCTCCCAAACAGCTGGGATTACAGGCACCCACCACCATGCCCAGCCAATTTTTGTATTTTTAGTAGAGACAGGGTTTCACCATATTGGCCAGGCTGGTCTCGAACTCCTGGCCTCAAGTGATCTGCCCACCTCAGTCTCCCAAAGTGTTGGGATTATAGGGGTGAGTCACTGCAGCCAGCCAAGAATTAGAAGATACTTCTAAAAGACATTTTAAAAGAACCAACAGAAACTTTGAGATGATAAAACCCAAGCAGTATAAACAAAACCACCCAAGGTACATCTTAAATTGCAGAAAACTAGTGATAAATCTTAGAAGCAGTCAGAGTAAAAAAGGCATATGACATATAGGCACAAAGAAGCCAAAGATTTCTTGTCCCTTCCACCCCCAACAACAACAACAACAAAAGCAAGCCAGAAGAAAATGGAACATCTTTAAGATGGTAAAAGAAAAAATACTGTCAATCTAGAACTATATATGCAGCAATATAGCCTTTTAAACTGAGGTGATACAAAAGCTCCATGAATTATGACCAGCAGATTTGCAGTCCAGAAACTGTTATAGGATGCTCTTCAGATGAAAGGAAAATGATACCAGAGCCAAACTATAAAAGGAATGAAAAATTCTGTAAATACTTTTTTTTTTTTTTTGAGACGGAGTTTCACTCGTCACCCAGGCTGGATTGCAATGGTGAGATCTTGGCTCACCACAACCTCTGCCCCCTGGGTTCAAGCGATTCTCCTGCCTCAGCCTCCTGAGTAGCTGGGACTACAGGCACGTGCCGCCACGCCCGGCTAATTTGTGTATTTTTAGTAGAGATGAGGTTTCACCATGTTGGTCAGGCTGGTCTTGAACTCCTGACCTCATGATCTGCCTCCTGGAGGTGGCAATACCGTAGATGAGAGAAGGATCGAAATCTACAGGAAGATATGCCATATTCATGGGTTGAGGACTCAATATTGTTACGATTTTTAAGTCCTTGTTATGGACTGAATTGTGGCCCCTGCCTACCAAATTCCTATGTTGAAGCCCTAACCTCCAATGTGACTTTATTTGGAGATGAGGCCTTTAAAGAGGTGAACATTAAATGGGATTCTAGGGATAGAGCCCGCATTTGATAGGACTGATGTCCTCGTAACATGAAGAGACTCCTGAGATGTGTGCATAGGAGGAAGTCCACCACTGGAGGACACAGAAGGGGGCCGTCTGCAAGCCAGGAGGAGAGGCCTCACCGGGAGCCAATCCTGCCAGCATCTCCTCTAGAACCATGAAGAAATAAATGTGCATTGTTTAAACCCCCTAGTCTGTGGTCTTCTGTTATGGCAGCCAAGCAAACGAATACCGTCCCTTTGGGGACGATAGGTTCACTGCAGTTCCAGTGAAAATCCCAGCACACTTTTTACAGTGTGTAGCAGACACTGATTAGTCGACTCTAAAATGTACGTGGAAATGCAAAGGACCTAGAACCACCGAGACAATCTGAAAAAGCAGAACCGGAGGACTCATGCTCCCTGGTTTCAAGACTTGCCTTAAAACTGCAATAATTAAGATAATGTGGGCCGGGCGCGGCGGCTCACGCCTGTCATCCCAGCACTTTGGGAGGCTGAGACAGGCGGATCACGAGGTCAGGAGATCCAGGCCATCCTGGCTAACACGGTGAAACCCCGTCTCTACTAAAAATAAAAAAATTAGCTGGGCACGGTTGCGGGCGCCTGTGGTCCCAGCTACTAGGGAGGCTGAGGCAGGAGAATGGCGGGAACCCGGGAGGCGGAGCTTGCAGTGAGCCAAGATCTGGCCACTGCACTCCAGCCTGGGGGACAGAGCGAGACTCTGTCTCAAAAAAAAAAAAAAAAAAAGAGACTGTGGTGGTGTTAGTACAAGGATAGACCTAAAGGCCAATTTAACAGAAGACAGTGTCCAGAAATAAACCCCAACTTACACAGCCAGGAATTTTTTTTTTTTTTAATGGAGCCAGCATTATTCAATGGGATGAGAAAGGTCTTTTTAACAACTGGTGTTAGAACAATAAACATACGGGATGGGGTGGGGAATCATCCTCAAGCTCTTCCTCACGCAACACACACGAGTTAGAGATGTGTCACAGACTTAAACTGAAAAGCTGGAACGGAATCTTCTGGAATAGATAAGAGAATATTATCGCAACCCTGGAATAGGCAGAGTTTTTCTTTTTTTTAGAACAAAGAAAAGCATTAGCCACAAAGGAAAGAATAAATTGAACTGCACTAAAATTTTAAAAATCTGCTGATCAAATGACAGTCAATAAAGCATAAATACACATATCCCACAAAGGATTCGTATGTGAGGAATTCCTACAAATCAGTAAGATAATGCAATCTAAAATGAGCAACAGACAAATATATAAATTACAATCAGCACATCAGGAGGTCAAAATCAGACATCAGAGAAAACGAAAGGAAAATCACACTGAGGCTGCAGTGCACACCCACCTGAATGGCTAACCTGACAACACCAAGTGTTGGCAACAACATGGGGCCACTGGAATCCTCACACTGCTGCTGGAGTGTAAAATGCTACCACCAACTTTGGATAAATCTTTGGCATTTGTGGTACAGTTAAACATATAAACACACCATGACTCAGTTCATTCTACTTCCAGATAATTACTTCCCAAAGAAATGAAAATAATGTCTGCAAGAAGACTGGCACACAAATGTTTGTAAGAGGTTTACTCATCATAGCCCCAAATAGGGAACAACCCAAATGTCCATCAAGAGAATGGACACGGGCCGGGTGTGGTGGCTTACGCCTGTAATCCCAGCACTTTGGGAGGCCAAGGCGGGCGGATCATGAGATCAGGAGATTGAGACCATCCTGGCCAACATAGTGAAACCCTGTCTCTACTAAAAATACACAAATTAGCTGGGCTGGGCGTGGTGGTGTGCACTTGTAATCCCAGCTACTCAGGAGGCTGAGGCAGGAGAATTGCTTGAACCCGAAAGGTGGAGATTGCAGTGAGCCAAGATTGCACCACTGCACTCCAGCGTGGTGTACATTGTGGTCTGTGCACACATGGATTACTATCTCTCCTACTCAGCAACACAAAGGACGCAACTGCTGACACGTGCAACAGGCATGAACTTCACAAGTGTCTGCAGAGTGAAACAAGCCAGACCCACCAGTTTCCACACTCCACCATCTGACGCCTATGGAGGCAACCCACCCCCCCCACGGTGACAAAAATCAGAGCAATGATTGTGCCCCGGGGTTGTGGGTAACTCAGAAGGCACAAGGGGTCCCTTTCTGGGGCCATGGGGACGTTCCATACCTGGGCTTCAGTGGTGGTCACATGGAGGTACATTTATTAAGACTCACTGAGTAGCTTTTACTTATATGTGCATTTTGGTGCATGTAATTTGTACCTCAGTTGAGAAAGAGTCCAGCGAGATAACACAACCAACAAAACATCTCACATTCAAGACTCCCAGTGCCTCTCGCTGGTGCGGATGTGGAGCAGGTGGGTGGAAGCGGGTGCAGCCGCTTTAGCAAACCGTGTCTGCTGAGTGGACTCGTGACCCAGCAATGCCACTCCTCGGCATCTTCCCACAAAAGGATGATGTGTCCAGCAAGGGTCACCTCCCAGAGTGCTCATAGCAGCTTTACCTGGACACTGCCCGACGTCTACCAGTGTGAGGGGCTGGGCCGCTGTGCTTATTCCACTGGAGAGCACAGGCCTTAACCAGGCAAGACGTTGCCGTGCAGGACTGCCGAGTAACACTGAGCCATGGACCCACGCCATGTGGCCGGAGTGAGCCACTCTGATGACTGACCAGGATATTGACTGGGCAAGGCCAGGGGCTGGGAACAGTCTGTTTGGTGGTTACATGCGTGTTACACAGAAATTCATTATGTGAACTTAGAATGTGTGTGCTTCAGTATGTTCTACTCAAGTTAAAAAGGAAAGAACAGGACACAAGGCAAGAAAAGCCCCTGCATGTGAGGACGGTGGAGCCTGGGCGGCTCAGGAGCCCGGGGAGCGGTGTGTGCGGCAGTGGGGCCACAGGGTCTGCTTCAGCCAAGGGCTGACCCGGGGATGGGCACTCCAAAGTGGAGCACGTGGGAATGTGGTGGGTTCCAGCCGGGTGCTGTAGAGGGGCCAGGGCAGCCACCATGGGGTAAGAGACGGGCTAAGGGGCACCAGGCTGGCCACAAGAGCTGGGATGGGCTGCTGGAGAGAACAGGTGTGGGCGGTGGGGGGAAGGGCCAGTGGCTATAGCCTGCAGCCTCCTCAGCCCAAGCCTAGACTCAGCCCAAGCCGCAGGCCCAGGCTTGCTGGTGGCTGCAGCCTGAGCCCCCACCCACCACAGACAACGGCCTGTGGGTTCCAGGAGCCAGTGTCTGAGTCATACCCAGCTGCAAGCTGGGGCCTCCAGACACTGGGGCCATCACGCCTCAGGGCAGCACCTGAGAGGAGGACTGCGCTCCTGGTGCGGTCTGGGCAGGAGTGGCCTCCAGCCGGCTTCTCAATTCCCCGTGGCCGTGGTGCCAGAAGCGATGCACATGCCCGCCGTGCTGCCCGGGCCCCAGGGAGGAGCAGGACACAACCCTTGGTGTTAGAAACGCACGGCAGCCTCGGCTCACACAGAAATGAGAAATAGAAAACCATTTTATTCGCATGGTTTACATTTACAGTTTATTAGCTAGTCAACATCAACATGCAAAAATAAGCACTAACTACAAACCTCTACAATATGGTTCTCTGTCAACTACGATGGTTCATTTGTTTTGAAAAGTCATCAGTACTTCTCTCAACTGAACGATTAATTTCTGTAATGGATAGTATTTAGACTCTACAGTTATGGAACCATCCGGCAAGGCCTCTGCAGAAACTTGGTCCCGTGGATTTCCACGTTATACATTCTCAAAGCAGGAAGTAAGGCGGCACACGGAGGGTGTGATATTGAAACTACGCACGTAGGAACACAGCCCCGCGATGTGGTATCGAAACTACGCACGTACGAACACAGTCCCGCGGACACGGCCCGCGAGGCAGGCGGGCGTCCTCGAAGCCAGCCCCTGACGGTGGCAGCGCCAGGCATTTTGGCAGCAGCTCTCGAATGAAGCCGTGAGTGTCCCTTGTGGCGCGGCATCGCGGGTCACTGCAGGTCAGTCCAGTGCCACTGCCACCTTCCCCGGCCGGGCCAGGGCCAACGGGAGGTGGTGAAGGACCAGCCCGTTCTCCAAGTCTCATCGTTCACAGAAGGAAAGAAACTGAAAACACAGGGAAATCATGGACTCCTATACTTTAAACGTTCTAAAGTTTCCCTCAGTGTTTAGGTCAGTCTTTAAAGAAAAGTTTCCTTCGAAAGTTGAAAGTACTTTTCAGAAGCATCAAATGGTTGACGTGTTACAAAATCCTACCAATCAAAATGCTGTTTTCAAGTACAAACTTATGAAACCTTATTTTCTCTCTTCCTAAGAGTATTTATCGTTGCTCACTCATCTTTGGTCGCAAGAAACAGAAACGCCGCGGCAGGCTGGAGCGTGAGGCAGGAGGAAGGCGCGGCCTCCCCGCCCGCTGCAGCCCGTCCCCGAGGCGTGCGCTTGGCGACGTGGGGCCTACATGATGTATACCTTCTCGGCTTGTGAGAAGTGGAAGACTTCTTTGGTTCTTGGGCAAACGACTTTATCATCTTGACGGATAGAAAGCAGAGACTGAAAAAAAAAACCGGGAATGCGTTAAGGCAAGCAAATACAACGTAAACAGATTTCCATGGAAAATCCCCACAACGAACCACCAGGGAATCACTCATCCTCTCAGGCAAAGTTGCTTCCCAAAGGCACACCTGCCAAAGAAATCCCGGGGCCACCCCGCCTGTCCTTCCTGCCCCTGATCCATTTCGAATGAAGCTAAGGCAGGGTGGGCAAGAGGACAGCCCTGTTCCGATGGCAACGTGTGCCAGCCTGGACCCCCTGCCCTGCCTGCCCCACACAACCCTATTCCGATGGCAACACGTGCCAGCCTGGCCCCCTGCCCTGCCCCCCTCACATTGTAGCCGTAGACGTAGCCGTTGGGCAGCATCATGGGCGGGTTGTTCTCGTTCATCACGTCGCCTGAGATCTTGCAGACCAGGCGGGAGTTGGCACAGTGGGCCATGGGCAGGGGCTGCGCCAGCTTGTTCAGGGAGCGGCTGCACACGGGGCAGTCGGGGCTCTTGGAGCTGCCGTCCTCTTTGTAGCACTGTCTGTGCGTCGGGTCAAGGAAGGGTTGGGGACCACCCAGGGTGAGCCGAGCCCCCTGTGGCCACTCTACCTCGGACTGCATGCCATTCTGGCTATGTGAGCACCGTGCAGACCACATGGGGTATCCTTCAAGGCAAAGGAAGTGCTGCACTTGACAGCTAAACAGCCCCCTGAGGCCTGGGGGAGACAAGAAGCCCGCACCTTCCCGCCCCAGCCTCCTGCGCCAGGACCACATGCACACAGCGGCTCTGTCGCCCACCACCCTCTTCCCCGCCACGCAACCTCTCCAGGCAGGACAAGAGCCACCCAGCAGGGATGTTCTGCTGGCACCTAGGAACAGGCAGTGGGCAAGCACATCAGCCCTCCCCCTCAGAGTTCCACAAAGGGGACAAGGGAGGGGGCCTGAGTCTCATTCATATCCCAGCACAGCCAGGAATCAGCGCAATCCCGAAACACTCACTGCCTTCTGGGCCTGAGTCAGGTCACACGAGAGACATTCACAGGCGGGGACAGAGTCAATCGCAGGTGAGGGCAGAGTCAGTTGTAGGAGGACAGTCAGTCACAGGTGGGGGCAGAGTCAGCCACAGCTGGGGATAAAGTCAGTCACAGGTGAGAGCAGAGTCAGGTGCAAGAGAACAGTCAGGGCAGAGTCAGTCACAGGCTGACAGTCACAGGCAGGGGCCGATTCAGTCACAGGCAGGACAGAGTCAGTCACAGGCAGGGACAGAGTCAGTCACAGGCAGGGACAGTCAGTCACAGGCAGGACAGAGTCAGTCACAGACAGGGGCAGAGTCAGTCACAGACAGGGGCAGAGTCAGTCACGGGTGGGATGGAGTGAATCACAGGCAGGGACGGAGTGAGTCACAGGCAGGGACAGAGTCAGTCGCTGGCTAGGAGAGTCAGTCACAGGTAGGGGCAGAGTCACAGGCAGGACAGAGTCCGTCACAGGCAGGGAAGAGTCAGTCGCTGGCTGGGAGAGTCAGTCACAGGCAGGGACAGAATCAGTCACAGGTGAGACAGTCAGAGGCAGGGACAGAGTCAGTCACAGGCAGGAGCGGAGTCAGTCACAGGTAGGGACAGACTCAGTTGCAGGCGTGGGCAGAGTCAGTCACAGGCAGGATGGAGTCAGTCACAGGCTGGGAGAGTCAGTCACAGGCCAAGGCACAGTCAGTCACAGGCGGGACAGAGTCAGTCACAGGCGAGGACTGAGTCACAGGCAGCATGGAGTCAGTTGCAGGCAGGGACAGACTCAGTCGCAGGCAGGGGCAAAGTCTGTCACAGGCAGGAAGAAGTCAGTTGCAGGTGGGACAGAGTCAGTTACAGGAAGGAATCAGTCAAAGGGGACAGAGTCAGTCACAGGCAGGGCCACAGTGAGTCGCAGGTGGGGACAGAGTCAGTCGCAGGCAGGAAGAAGTCAGTTGCAGGTGGGACACAGTCAGTCACAGAAAGGAATGAGTCACAGGCAGGACAGAGTCAGTCACAGGTGGGGAAAGAGTCAGCCGCAGGCAGGAGCAGTGAGTCACAGGCAGGAACTGAGTGAGTCACAGGTGGGACAGAGTCACAGGCAGGACAGAGTCAGTCACAGGCAGGTGCAGAGTCAGTCGCAGGTAGGGGCAGAGTCACAGGCAGACAGAGTCGGTCACAGGCAGACAGAGTCGGTCACAAGCGGGACAGTCAGTCACAGGTGGGACAGAATCAGTCACAGGCGGAGGCCAAGTCAGTCACAGGCAAGGTTCTTGGTAACCACATGGGGAAACTATTCTGAATGGTAATCTCCCAGCCGCCAGAACACATCAGAGTCAGGCTTTTAGATCAATGCTCGGTGCCCATGGCAGCATCTGAGATGACGAGAGAGAGAGGAAGGGCGCCACTTCCCAGAGTGAAGGCTGTGCGACGCATCCAAGGCCCCTCAACACGGCCCCACCTCGACCATCTAGACACTGTGCAGGTGCAGCACACAGAAGCCCGGGTCTGTCTGTGGTGGGAGGACAAGGGTGGCAAGGTGCAGGGTCAGTGTGTTAAAATGTGCAGGGTCAGTGTGTCAAAATGTGACCGAAGACGCGAACCCCAGGCCAAGCCGCACTGTGCACAGGAGGCAGGATACGGTGTCTTGATGGCTGAGAGGCCAGCCTGCAGGGTGAGGGTGAACACAGAGTTGTTTCCCAACTGGTGTAGTCGGTAGTTGTCGTACCGGAACTGCTGGATCAGCATCCGCCACCGTGCAGGGTCCAGGAGGTCCTGGAAGACAGAGGGCAGAGGGTGCTGGGGATGCTCCCAGGGAAGCTCCTGGGACAGCTTAAAAATGTGGGCCATGGTGGGGCAGGTGCCATCGGCCCACAGCCATCCCCCAATGACCCACACACTCTGTGCTAAGGGTCAGCACAAAGCATAACTCCCTCAAGTGTTGACTGAAACACACAGTGGGATGAGTGGACTTAACTCTGATTTCAATACGCTGCAGGATGAGTGCTGACTTAACTCTGATTTCAACACGCTATAGGGCCAGTGCTGACTTAACTCTCTGATTGCAACACACTGCAAGGCCAGTGCTCACTTAACTCTGATTTCAACATGCTGCAGGACAAGTGCTGACTTAACTCTGATTTCAACATGCTGACGGATGAGTGCTGACTTAACTTTGATTTCAACACACTGCGGGGTGAGTGCTGACTTCTCTGATTTCAACATGCTACAGGGCCAGTGCTGACTTAACTCTGATTTCGACATGCTGCAGGATGAGAACTGACTTAACTCTGATTTTACCATGCTGACGAATGAGTGCTGACTTAACTGATTTCAACACACTGCAGGATGAGTGCTGACTTAACTCTCTGATTTCAACACGCTGTGAGGCCAAGTGCTGACTTAACTCTCTGATTTCAACACGATGCGGGACAAGGGCTGACTTAACTCTGATTTCAACACGCTGCGGGATGAGTGATGACTTAACTCTCGGATTTTGACATGCTGCAAGGCCAGTGCTGATCTAACTCTGATTTCAACATGCTGTGGGATGAGTGCTGACTTAACTCTGACTTCAACATGCTGCGGGATGAATGCTGACTTAACTCTGATTTCAACACGCTGCAGGACCAGTACTGACTTAACTCTGATTTCAACACACTACAGGGCCAGTGCTGACTTAATGCTGCGATTTCAACACACCGTGGGGCCAGTGCTAACTCTGTGGTTTCAGCACACTGTAGGGCCAGTGCTGACTTAACTCTGTGATTTCAACAAGCTGCGGGGCCGGTGCTGACTTCACTGTGCTGCGCACTGTGACAAAAATGGACTCACAGAGTTGGAAGCACAGCTCAGTGCAGAGAGCACCTCAGAGCATTAGGTGTAAAAACTTACTTTAGAGAAATCATGTATAAAACGGAAAATAGCCAGTCCATGTTAGGTTAAAGCATCACAGAACAGAAAATTAAACCTCATTAATGTCTGTCCCTAAATAACCTCAGGTTTAGACTTGGAGAGAGAGCATGTGTGAGCACAGGAGAGAAAAACCTTTAAATCAACCCAGAAAGGCCGCTCAGCCTCTAGCGCGGGGGGAGACGGCCACACCTGGAGGGAGGGGAGGTGGTCATCAGGGGACGTCACCCGTCAGTCTCCATAAGCTTCTCAGTCTCAGTTTAGGGTAAATGCCACACTTAAATCCAACATTTTGAAAGGCTGCTTTTAATCTCATTTTTGTATAAAAATCAAAGTCTACAACAGAGGAAGCCCACAGTCCAGAAGGTCCTCACTGAGAAGGAACAGCTCCTGGCACCCTCACTCCCCAGGACCGGTTGCCTCTGGGCCTCTGGCAGCTTCCGCCATTCTCTGAACAGAACGCTTCCTCCTGTTTCTTGCCTGACCCATGGCAATGGGGCCCATGTTCTTGTCACGAGACATGGTTTTGCCCCCTGAATCTGGCAACTGATGAGCCTTGGGGCTAGTACTGCCTGCCTCCCTCTTTACCGCACTGCAGGGCTGCGTCCGGCGAGAGGTGCACGCTCCACCTGGCCTAGGCCCAAAGTCTCAGCCCCCCGTATGTGTCAGCCTTTCTTGCATTTCTAACAAAATCCTCTCCAGAGCAAGCGAGAGAAACAAGGTGCCAACTGACAATCTGGGAAGCTTAGACTCCACCCCCGAAGATCCTCTTGACCTAATGATGGTTTATTACGAGACGTCCCAAACGCCTGAGATCCAGGAGAATTCAGGCTGAGAAAGCTTCTAGCAGCTTTCAGAAGGCAGCAGGTCTAGGTCTGCCCAGGGCTTTGCAGTCCCTACAGGGTGGTGGGTGGGGGCTGCTGGGAAACACCCCTGCCTCTGACAGAGACCGGCGCCAGGCTCAAAGAACAAACTGTCAACTCCAGGAGGTTTCATCCGCTTCCCCCTTTTCCACGAACTGAAACTGTTCCCTGCGTGATGAGCACAGGGGTGGGCATGGGGGTGAGCACACGGTGGGCATGGGGTGGTTGCAAGGGTGGGTACACAGTGGGCACAGGGGTGGGTGCAGGGGTGGGCACGCAGGTGGGTGCAGGGGTGGGTACACGGTGGGCATGGCGGTGGGTGCAGGGGTGGGCACACGGGCATGGGGTGGGGGCAGGGGTGGGCACACGGTGGGCACAGGGGTGGGTGCAGGGGTGAGCACACTGGGCACGGGAGTGGATGCAGAGGTGGGTACATAGTGGGCATGGGAGTGGGTGCAGGGGTGGGTACACAGTGGGCACAGAGGTGGGTGCAGGGGTGGGCACACGGGCATGTGAGGGGGTGCAGGGGTGGGTACACAGTGGGCACAGAGGTGAGTGCAGGGGTGGGCACACGGCACGGGGTGGGTGCAGGGGTGGGCACACGGTGGGGGCAGGGTGGGTGCAGGGGTGGGCATGGGTGCAGAGCGGAGCCACTCACCCGGGAGCAGCTGGCTGCTGGGTTGGGGCCAGGTCTGAGCACAGGGTGCTGGTTAGTGATGGCAGAACCCCCACCCCTACCCCAGTGACCACGGAGACTTGGAGGCTCCAATATGTACAGGTAAAATACAAAGCGTCGCACGAGGACCACGGAAACCACAGAAGATGGTGCAGCCTAACACCTGACTCGGGCTGCAGAGAAAGGAGAACCAGGGAACAGGGCAAGGAAGCTGGGCCCCGGCTGAACACGCCAGGCTTAAAAGCTTCCTGAACCTTTCTCATTCAACTTTTTTTTTGGAGACAGGGTCCCGCTCTGTCACCCAGGCTGGAGTGCAGTGGCACAATCTCGGCTCACTGCAGCCTCAACCTTCTGGGCTCAAGTGATCCTCCCACCTCAGCCCCTCCGGGTAGCTGGACTACAGGCAGGTGCTACCATGCCCAGCTAATTTGCAAAAAAATTTTTTTTGTAGAGATGGGGTGTCACTATGTTGCCCAGGCTGGTCTCAAACTCCTGGGCTCAAGTGATCCTCCCACCTCAGCCTCCCAAAGTGCTGGGATTCCAGGGGTGAGCCGCCACACACAGCCCTGATTCAAAATTCTTACGAGCAAAATGGGAATCGAACAAGAAAAGCCTGTCTTGGCAGGCTGGACAGGCCGTGTGGCTGGGACAGGGCCCTCACGTCCTGCCCCGTGTATGGCAGCAGTTACAGACCAGAGACACACCTTGCATCCCCACCCCATCACGACACTGACCCGCGGACGCAGGTCCTACCTTGTACGGGGAGATGTGCGTGTCGGGCGGGAAGGCCAGCATGCCCATGGCCTGGCGCACCTCGTCCAGCTGGCTCCCTTCTGCTTGGCTGAAGTGCTTTCTCGCGTGTCTAAAAAACAACATTTTGGCACATGTAAGTTTGCGTTTTTATTTTAATTTTTAGAGACAGGGTCTTACTCTGTCACCCAGGCTGGAGTGCAGTGGCACAGTCACAGCTCACTGTAGCCTCGAACTCCCGGGCTCAGGCGATCCTCCCAGGAAGCTGAGACCACAGATGTGCGGCACCACGCCCAGCTAATGTAAAAAACGTCTTATTAGAGACAGAGTCTCGCTGTGTTGCCCAGGCTGGTCTCCAGCTCCTGGGCTCAAGCCATCTTCGTGCCCCAGCCTCCCAAAGTGCTGGGATTATAGGCATGACCCACTGTACCCGGCCTGCATTCTTAAGTTGAAAAATCTGAGCTAACAGCGTTTATGTCAGAGTCTAGGTACAAAGTAATCGCCTCACTCCAAGCCGACCTGCTGGGTGGGGCTGGGATGGCAGGAGGTGCAGCTCACCTGAGGCTGGAGAAGCAGCTACCAGACACTCCTTCCCCCAGGGACAGGGCACCCAAGCCACACACACAACCCACGGAAAACACCAGAACTGCAAATGGCACCTGCCCCTGAGGCCTCTCCAAAGCGATTCTGGTTTACAAGGAACCCAAACCTTAAGGACTCCCACTGCCCCTGGATGCTTGCCTCCGTGGCCCCTGTGGCCCCAGTGGACCCAGCGGACCAAGAATGTGTAGTCTGCTCGACTGCAGTCCTTGCTGTTCGGCAGTGACACCCAGCACAACCTTCCAAAGAACAGCCTCCCTCAGCCCACAGGCTGGACTCCCTGCAGATCTGGCCCAGCCCTCTCAGCCCTGAGCCTGCCACACACCACATGCAGCCACAATGTTTCCTGAGCCAACTCTGCAGGATGCACACAGGCCCGCTCCAGGCCAGAACCCCACTCCAGTCTGCGGCTAGACAACTAAGAAACCAAAGCAGAACACGACAGGTCCCTTTCGAGCTGATCAGAGGGCACCTGCTCACCCCAAGGGCCCCCATTTCCATGGCCCGCCTCCCCCACACACACAGGGTCACCGTCCCTCTGGCTGTCCTGAGGACCTGCACCCCCATGTCCCGACCCTCACATGGGCCCCTGTGCACCCCACGTCCTCAGCCCTCAGGGCCCCTCCCCCAAAGCGACCCCAATGCACAGAACCTCAAGTCCCACGTGTGAGTCAGCCCTGTGCTGTCCAGAACAAGGCATGTACCCAGGAACACGGGGCTGAGGAGGTGCCGGGTGCTCACGGTGGCCTCAGAGAAGAGGTAGTGACTGGCAGAGACTGGAGTTAGTGCAGGAGGTGCCCCCGCAGCCCCTTGATGGATGGCACGGTGACCATGTGGTGGAGGCACCACCAGGGGAGCCTGGGGCAGCAGGGAGCGGGGGGTGCCCAGGCTTGGGACCCAGCCTGGGGAGTCCACACGGCCAACCCCGCAGGACATATGCAGGGACTGGGAGTCGGGGGTGAGTCCACACGGTCGACCCCGCAGGGTGCGTGTACAGGGGCTGGGGACGGCCATCCGAGATTCCAGTGCCTGTGCATCTCCCTCCTGGAGTGTGGGGGGGTGTGTCTGAGTCCACGAAGAGCCCCACCCAACCCCCTCATTCCATCTCTGGAGACAAGTCACCCTTCGTCCTACGCCAAGACGTGCCCAGAACACGGCCCACCAGGGCTGTTTCATTCAACGGGCATCTCACCGCCTCCCAGAGCTGCTGAAGAGGGAATTTAATCTCTGTGGTTGACATCTATGAGATCTCATTTGCGTGACCTGGTTTACGCATCTTATCTCACTATCAATCAAACCCCAGACGGGTGAGGCCAGACTTCCCTGACCAGGCCCTGGCACCTGGAGACCCACTCCCAAGACGGCCCCAGCAGAGGACGTAGCTCACACCGCGCCTGCCCCCGAGCACTGGGGTGTTGTTTGCCACGCCTGCCCCACTGGGTGCGGAGGCTTCAGGGCAGCACGCGTCTGCGTGGGGGAGGAAGGACACGCACTTCCTGGGACCTGCCTGCTCCTCCGTAACAGACGAGGCCGCAGAGGGCACAGCACTGAGCTCGGCTCCAGACATGATGAGGCGTAGGCCCTGCGCGTCTCCAGGGCAGATTCTACCCAGAGTGGGGCAAACACAGGCAAACAGACCCCACCCAGAGCAGGGGGGACACAGGCAAACAGACCCCACCCAGAGTGGGGCAAACACAGGGAAACAAACCCCACCCAGAGCGGGGGGGACACAGGCAAACAGACCCCACCCAGAGTGGGGAGAACACCGGCAAACAGACCCTGTGCGGAGCCAGCTGCCACCCAGATGAAGACACCTGTGACAGGAGGGGCTGCAGGGAGGGACTCCAGGATGGACATGTTTTGTTCTCAGACTCCTGGGCTGACAGTGGCCGGGGCCCTCAAGGAGACGGAGGCTGACTCGGGATGGAAGCAGGCTGCGGCCGGACAGAGGCCAGAGACACAGGCACCGAGGCTGCACGGAGGAGGCCAGAGCAGAGCAGGAGCCCCTCCTCCTGACAGGGCGCCCCGGCCGTGTCCCCGGAACGCTCACACGCCGCTCTCCATTGGGCTGGGTCCTGAGAACCCCGGTTTAGCCCTCTCAGGCACAGAAGGGCAGTGAGCTCCCCTGCCGCAGGGCCTGGCTCACTTGTGCGTGAAAACGAGGCCTGATCTGCCACCATGCATCCAGGTTGGCATCAGGAGCCAGAGCAGGACCCCGGGCCTCCAGGGCCCACGCAAGGGCAGGGTCTCACCGCAGTTCTGCCGTGCGTTGTGGGGACCACCCTCAGCACCTCATCACGAGACGCCCACTTCTCCGAATCAGCCCTCTGTGGAACACTCGGCCACCCAGCCCGCTGCAGGTGGATATGGAGTCGCGGTCGGGTTTCTGTGGGCACGGACAGGCGGCCCCTCCTGGCAAACACACACCTGCTGGGCACTCGCCCGGGAGCTTTGGGCCCACCCCACACAGCAACTCAAGCGTCACCACGAGGCTTGGCTGCTCAGGAACCTCCACAGAAGTGAGTGAGATGACCCAGCACTAAAGGAGCAGCCCTGCCCTGAGACAGGGTGAGCACGACTGGCCGACACCGCCCAGGCCAGGCACCCACTGCTGCCTGACGATGCCCGCTCTGGAGAGCCAGTGGGAAGCCAGCGGACAGCCTCTCTTGCTTTGCAGATGCCGTGCACCCTAACTGGGCTGAGCCACAGTGACAGCCAGCATCCCCTCCTCAGGCCTGACCGCCAGGGCGCCGCTGGCCTCAGCACACTGCACAGCACCCTTGTGTTGGAGACAGGCCAGGGAACCCAGAGTGCCCTCGCCACACGCTGTCAACACTCCCCAATGACCCTGAGGGACATTCCCAAGCTCAGGGCACTTGGAGCCACCTAAGGGCCACACGTCAGAGACACGCCCAAACTACAGAGGCTGGCGGCACTTTCCTGCGTGGAAAGGGGCTACCAGGAGTCATGTTTTACGTGGATGGTCGGGACGTCAAACTGGTTCCCCTGGCAGCCATGGGGGTCTGGGTGCCCACCTGGGGCCACACTTTGGTGGGGGCCCTGTCAGGCTCCAGGCCTCACTCCCCAAGTCCCATTCAGGAACAGTGGGAGAAGCAGCCACCTGAGCGGGCAGGGGTCAGACTCAAGACCCAGGGGACATCCCAGGACCCAGACCATGATGGGAAGGGCTGGCAGGGGCCGCAGCCGAACATCCTGCCCTCCCTCGATTTGCCGCACGACCGCGATGCCTACCTCACGGCGTCCAGTCTCTTATTCTGCCGGATGAGTTCAATGAACTCCTGGATTCTGAGGCTGAACTCCAGGCAGCTCTGAAGGCAAAGACAAGACGAGGCTTAGACAGCACATCCCACAGAGCCCGGGTGCCCGGGTGCCGCACCCACACGTCCACCAGCAGACCCCACAACCAAAGCTCTGAAACCCTCTCTCACAGGCACCAGGAAGGCAGGGCTGAGGCTGAAGCTGCCACTTCAACCTGCAGCTGACTTTCCGGGGGGCACGGGTTCTGAACGTGAGTCCCGCCCCTGCTCCTGCAGCTGCGGCTGACTTTCCGGGGGGCGCAGGTTCTGAACGTGAGTCCCGCGTCTGCTCCTGCAGCTGCGGTGGGGCGTGCAGCCGCCCAGCATTTCAACTTGAAGGCCGGGGCACTCAGGGTGCTCCCGGGAGCGCAGGCCTGGGAGACGCTGGGAGGGCAGAGCAGCAGGTGCGGCCGCTGGACCAAAGGCACCAACCCCTCTGCAAGGACAAAGCAGCTTCCTGGCTCCTGCCCTGATGCCCCTGCTTCCTCCTTTACACCCCCACCGGGCCTCTGGACCCATCTGTCCCGAGTGTAGACTGGGTGCTGGCTTGAGTCTGGGGCTGTTCTGGGAGAACGTGGGCAAGTCCTGTCCTGAGGCACTGAGGCCCAGGGCGGGGAGGAGACAGTGACCACACATGGGGGTGCTGGGTGGTGCCTCACAGGAGCATGAGGCAGAGAAGCAAGCTTGGAGCAGGCAGGACCCAGGGCAGCAGGGCAGGGAGCGCCTGTGCCGAGGTTATGGACGGGGGACCGCACAGACACCGGGTGAGAACACGGCCGGCAGAAGCCAGGGCCAGCGCCGAGGCCCCAGGCAGGTGGCACATGGAACGGAGGCCTGGCCCAGGGGACACTGAGGTCCTGGGTGGCTGCGAGGCCAAGGGGCGGCTCCCGTGAAGGGAGGGTGCTTCCAGGATGTGTGGGAGACGGAGAGAGGCCGGGTCGGGGCTGCTGGCTGACAGCCTGAGGCGGGGGCTGGGGCGGAAGCTCCTGCAGGACCAAGTCCCACATGTGTCTGCCTCTGAGTCTCTCATGTGCAGCTAAGGGAAACCCACGGAAGCCCAACCCTCACTCTGAAATCTCAGCAACCTCAGTCCAATGTGGGCCGAGACTTGTGGCTGGGGTGGGAGCAGCGGCAACATCGACCAAAGTCATCCAACACGAGACGCGGATGCTACAGAAGGGCCATGTCCGTCTAAACCATAAGATCTTCCGTGTGGTTTCAGGACACTCTCGGGGCTTCACCCCGCAAACAGGATATAGGCGGGGGCACCACGGAGCAAGTCTTGGGCTGGGGCCACATTTGTCACTCTGAGTTCACGTGGTCTGGATCTCAGGATGGCACGAACAGAAACTCTACGTGGCAAATGAATCCACCCCAGATCACTGTATTTAAGTCGAAGCTCATCACTTCCATTTCCCAGAGCTTTTCCCACTGAGCTTTCTGAGGGGCCACCTGTGCTCCAGCCCACCCTGCCTGCCAGCCTTGCTGCCCCGACACACAGAGCACCCACAGCAGTGGCTCCGTGTGGGCGTGGGGAGGGGCTGCCCAGACCCCGGGGGCCAGCCAAGGCGCCGAGAGCCACCTGCCTTCCAGGGTGGGGCTCAGAGGGGCTCAGGTCCCTGCCCTGCTGCCCCTGCCCTGTGCCCTCAGCCCCTCACCGCCCTGTGTCCCTAGACAGACAGGTCAACAGGCTGTACGCAGAACTCACAGGCTTGCTCCACACTGGGGCAGGAGGACTGTCTCTGACCCCAGCAGTGGCATAGGCTCTGGGCGGGGGGTGCCAGGCTTGGTACAAACCAGCCCAGAGGCACAAGGTCACTGCAGGGTCCCCAGTCCCCACCCCACTAATCAGTAGACAGACTTTGGTCAGCACTCCACTCCCTTCAGAGCCAGCCCAGCCGGAGAGCAAGGGAAGGGCCAGCGGGAAAAGACAGAGGCTCCCCACCAGGGCCCCACCTGCCTCCCAGGGGCCGCCTGATGGCTGCCATGTCCAGAGCAGGCGAGTGCTGGGGCTCCGTCTAAAGGCAGGAAGCAGCTGCCGAGGGGGTGCTCTAGAAGACCAGGACTCTGTGCCCACTCTAGGTTACCGCTTCACACAGTGGACACCTCAAACCTGCTTTTCAATGACACCTTTTGCTCTAGTAGGTTACTTTCAATTGGTCCACTAACACGTAAGTGTGTCTATGTCATGAAACTTAGGTATTCAGACCCAAATCTAAAACACCGAGTCTACGCTGTCCCACACAGCATGGAGCGCCAAGGCTGTACCCACCCTGAGACAGGCGCCCACACTGATGGCTCTGTGTGGCTTTCGCACAGATGTGAGGCACACAAATCACTGGGTCTTCAGGGCCACTTGCCCACCCAGGCCTGTGAAATCCATTTCCCAGCCAGGTCAAACTTGGGCCTCAAGTTTCTTTTCCCATCGAGGTTCTCGTGGCTGGTCCGAGGGACCCATGAGGGCACCGTCTGGCTCCTCCCTGTCTCCCCACATGCTCCCTGGCGTGTGTGCACATGTGAGCAGACTGCACAGACAGCCATGTACCCCGCCTGGCTCAGTTGCATCTCATACTGGGCATGTTTTCGCGTCATTTGGAGTCTTCAGGGTTCATTACTGGACAGCATCCAAACATGGATTCAGGCCCCATCCAGTCTCAACTTCATCCAACACCAGGCACGCTCATCCAATCTCAACTCATCCAACACCAGGCACGCTCATCCGCCAGGCATCCAATCTCAATTTCATCCAACACCAGACACACTCATCCGCCAGGCATCCAATCTCAAATCATCCAACACATATCTCAAATTTATCCAATACCAGGCACACTCGTCCCCCAGGCACGCATTCAGGGCCCCAACTCCTGGCCCTGCCTGTCCCCACAGCAGCTTCAGACAAGTCGTGTGCCTGCAGCAAGCCCCCAACACCCTCCAGCAACACTGTCTGGTAGGTAACCAGGGCTTGCAGAAATATCCTGGCAGCACCAAGAACCTATCTTCCCTCTGAGGTCCACATGAAACAGCCCCGGCAGAGTTCGACTGTGAGGCGTGTGCCGGCTCTCTGGGAGGGAGTGTGGGGCTGGCACTGTGTGGTGGGGCCGTGGGTTACATACCAATTCTGGCTTTCCTTTCAGGGTTTCCACACCAACATCCTCACTCTCTTAAGGGGAGCCACTGGCCGCTCCGCTTTTTCACCCCGTCTTTGCTTCGTGCTTGTTTTGGTGGCCCTGAGTGGCAGTGTGTCACTCCTGGCTGGTAACTGTGTGCACCCTGCCAAACTCAGCCAGGGTGGGGTTAAAGCAGTGCTCAGTTTAGAAAACAGAAGAGTTTTGCTGATGGAGGCAGAGGTGTTAATATAAAACATTTCTGCAAGCCCCTAGGGTGACAATGCCTTTTAATAAGCAGGTTTAAATTCTGTCATTTAACAGTCCATTTTTTAAGCCTCTTTTGGTCTCTAGAAAAGTGGGTACTTGGCCGGGCACAGTGGCTCACGCCTGTAATCCCAGTACTTTGGGAGGCTGAGGCAGGCGGATCACAAGGTCAGGAGATTGAGACCATCCTGGCCAATGTGGGGAAATCCCATGTCTACTAAAAATACAAGAATTAGCTGGGCATGGCGGCACGTGCCTGTAATCCCAGCTACTCAGGGGGCCGAGGCAAGAGAATCGCTTAAAGACGGAGGCAGACATTGCAGTGAGCCAAGATTGCGCCACTGCACTCCAGCCTGGCGACAAAGCAAGATTCCGTCTCAAAAAAAAAAAAAAAAAAAAAGTGGGTATTCGTGAACAATATCACAGGCCAGAGCTCTGCAGCGTCGCAGATGGAGAATGGCTTTCCGACCAGCTTTTCTGTGTCTGTCACTGACTGCAGGGAGCCACGGAGCAGCCCCCATGGAGCAGGACTGATGTGTCTCTGGGCTCCGAGCCCAGAGCCCCAAACATGCTATGTACACGTGGTCAGCCTCCCGCAACCGATCCCTCTGAGCCTCATGCCAGGTGTATGCAAACTGCAATGCCAAATGAGGTGCACTTTTCTGGATTTTAGCCTAAAAGTGTAACACAACCACCAAAAAAACTCCCAAACCCAACCCCCACCTTACAAACCAAAACCAAACTACTGTGAACCACCAGGCGAGGGGGTGCTGGCTGCAGGGCGGGTGGCGCGGCCTCGGCCCCGACCCACCCCACCCCAACCTGGGAGTCTGTGCACCTTCATCTTCCGCAGCCGGGACTTGTTGTCATGGCACCAGGCCAGGCAGGTGGCCGTCTCACGCCTCTCCAGGGACTCCTCCACCTCTTTGGCCGTCAGGAACATCTCAATATTCACTAGGTCCTTAGAGGAAGGAAGCAGCTCCTGGTCAGAATGTGCTGGCTCAAGGCCCCCACGCCACCCTCCCGCACCCCGGCCTCCATGAGGCAGGGCCCAGCACCAGCCACCACTCGAGATGCATCTCCAGTCCACATGGTGAGTCTGCACTCATGGACTCCCCAGGGCTGCTCTGAGATCTGAGGAACAGAATAGCCCCCAAGGACCAAAAGGTCAGACGCTCACGTGGACAGCAGCCATGGCCAAGCAAGGGAGCCAGGCTGGCCTCGCCTGTCCCATGGAGAGGAGTTGCAGAGACACACACGCAGGCGGGGCCAGGCCACGTACCAGGTGGGGCCAGGACACGTGCCAGGCGGCCTCATCTCCACTCCCCACAGCCCCCCAGCACATCTACAGCCCCTCCCTGGGCAGCCCCCTCATTTCAAAATCAACAGTAAGTGAATAATAACACGGTAAATAATACATAAACACACTATGGCTAGTATCACGGTAGTTAGAACTGATGATTTATATATATAAAAAAAAGAAACCCAAAGTAACCCAGGCTTAGCATCGAGGCTCTGCGAGTGGCCGGGCACAGGGGGTGGGTGCTCAGTGCCCAGCAGTGGAACCCATGGTCACCGGCTGAGGCAGGACAGCAGCCAGTCCGGGACTCCACCAGGCACTGCGAGGCTGGGGGTGAGGGCGCACGTGGTCCTCAGCAGCGATGGCTCCCGACTTTCCCCAGTGGGACCAAGGGCAGCACCTCCGCCCACACATGGCCCAAGACCCAGTGGCCTAGCGCGAGGCCACAGATCACCCCTTGGGTCCCACAGCCCCGTGTCTGGACACCGGCCTCACAGACGCGCAGTTTTCTTTGATGATTTCCCTTTTCTGAAACCCCTCATGGCGTTGTTTTCTTGCATCTTTTCTTTGATGATTTTTCTGAAACCCCTTCATAGTGTTTTCTTGCACGTTTGCTTTGATGATTTCTCTTTGCTGAAGCCCCTTCACGGCAGGCATATGTTGGGTCTCCCACAAAGTCTTGCTTTGTTTTGCAACTTAAAAACAAAATTTTTTTTTTTTTGGTGACGGGGTCTCGCTCTCTTGTCCAGACTGGATGGAATGGCAGTGAGATCATGGCCCACTGTTGCCTCCAGTTCCTGGGCTCAAGTGACCATGCCACCTCAGCCTCCGGCGTAGCTGCAACTATAGGCATACACTATCACGCCCAGTTAATTTTTTATTCTTATAGAAATGGGGTCTTGCCACATTGCCCAGGCTGGTCTTGAACTCCTGGGCTCAAGTGATCCTCCCACCCTGGTCTCCCAAAGGCCTTGTTTTGTAGTTTTGCTCTAAATTTCAGGAGGTGGCTCCTGGTCTGTCTCCTGCCTCATGTCCCATCCGCACAGCCTCGAGGTCTGAACGCAGCTGGATCTCTCTCACTGAGGGTTTCTCCAATGTCCGGGTCTCTGGTTGTGAGAGTCACAGGAAAGATGTGAGGCCAGCTGGCAGCAGGCTTGTACGTCAACTGAAACTGGAAACCGTCTAAGTGAACCGGTTTTCTGTCTCACACAAAATGCTCATGCTGACTTTTGTTTGTTTTGAAACAGGGTGTCGTCCTGTTGCCCAGGCTGGAGTGCAGTGGTGAGATCTTGGCTCACTGCAGCCTCCACCTCCTGGGCTCAAGTGATCCTCGCACTGCAGCCTCCAGAGTAGCTGGGACCCCAGGTGCCCGCCACCACTCCCAGCTGATTTGAAAAAAATTTTGTAGAGAAGGCTTCTCACTTTGTTGCCCTGGCTGGTCTCAAACTCCTGGGCTCAAGGCAGCCTGGTGCTCTCTTGGGCGGCCTTCCCTGGGCAGCAGCTTTCCTGTCCTGTTCCTGGGCGGACTTCCCTGGGCGGCAGGCATCCCGTCCTCTTCCTGGGTGGCCTTCCCTGGGCGGCAGGCGTCCCGTCCTGTTCCTGGGCGGCCTTCCTGTTCTGTTCCTGGGCGGCCTTCCCTTGGCAGCAGTTTCCTGTCCTGTCTCATCTGGGACCTTCCTCCAATCCAGAGCATGTGGGTATTTTCCTAAGTTTGTTACGTCTCCAATTTTGGTGCACAGGAATTTTGGTGCACAGGTATGAAACCAGAGGTCCCGTGTGGGAATTCCATGGCGCCCCCTACAGGAAGTCCAGGTCTGACCAGCGCAGCAGGGGTTTACATTTCCACAGCCTGGCAGTTCTCCCTCGGCCACAGCAGCACCTTCCGCGGGGCCTCCTAGTGCTGTGGTCGCCTGTGGTCAAAAGCGATTCCTCAACGCCCTCGGGAGCATCTCAGCAGGAATAACTCCTCCCCCGCAACCCAGTCCTCGTGGGCTCCACACACGCCCGCCTTCTTCCATACAGCAGCTCCAGGCCCTCTTTGGGACAGACACGCTCAGGGCGCCCCAACACCTCGAGTCTAGCCTGTCTCATCCTGCTGAGACCTACTCCAGCCAGCCTTAGAATCATCAGCCCTCCCATATCCACCCTGCTCTACGCACCCCTGTGGAACATGCGGCCCGTGCCCACCACAGGACCCCCTTCTTTCACCTCACGCCTCTCTCCCCCAACACAGCACACGTTCCCTGGGGCCAGGGGCACCCACAGCTTATGCTTCAGCAGGCACCGCCAGATGTGCTTGGCCACACCCCCGCAGGTTCCAAGGACAGTGTGCTGGACGTTTAGTAGAGGAGAGCCAGGTTATCTGTGAACACACCGAGGGGCTGCCCCAGGCAGCCAGGACATGTGGGCAGCACGGAGCGAGGGCCTGTGCACTGGGGGAAGCCGGGCACACGGGGCCAGGGAGGCAGGTGGGTGGGACAGGCATGACGGACAGGGGCACCGGAGTGACATGTGCTGGCCCCACTGTCAGTCACGTGAGCCTTGGCAGGTGCAGGTGAGAATGCCCTTCCCTGACACCCAGGTGGAGGAAACACGGCACCAGATGGGGGCCACAGGAGCCCAGCAGGCAGCACGGCAGAGGCAACACAGACGACCTCGTCCAGCGACAAGAATGCTGGGTGCACACTGGAGCAGCTGCGAGTCATGATCTGGAGACCTCAGACACTTGACAAGACCGCAGGGCCGCCGGGGGCACCAGCCCTGGCCACCGCAGAGGACCAGTGCACTTTGCCATCTGGCAGATCCACTCACGGAACAGCTGTGACACGTCACATTCACGTCTGTGAACCGAGACGCCACACCCCAGGGGTGCCAAGAGCGACAGTGTTGCGCGGGTCTGGGCAGGTGAGCACCTCCAGAACACGAGGACTCACTCGCGCACCCTGCCCACTGGGCAGCTGCTCGCCACTCCCCTCCTGGAGAACAGGATGGACACTGCACACACACAAGCAGGGAGGCCGTGCAGCAGCGGGGAGAAGGCACGGGTGGGAGGGTGCCGCTCCACCCAGGGCAGCATCTGAGAGAAGCTGAACCAGGGTCGGGACAAATGCCGAGGACAGGAGCCAGTGGCGGGGGGCCAGGTGGGTCTCTGGGTGAGTCCGGAATGTGGGGCCTGCGGGTGAGTCCAGAGTGTGGGGCTGGGGTGGGTCTGCAGGTGATTCTGGAGTGTGGGGGCCGGGGTGGGTCTGCAGGTGATTCTGGAGTGTGGGGCTGGGGTGGGTCTGCAGGTGATTCTGGAGTGTGGGGCTGGGGTGGGTCTGCAGGTGATTCTGGAGTGCGGGGTGGGTCTGCAGCTGAGTCTGGAGTGTGGAGGCTGGGGTGGGTCTGCAGGTGATTCTGGAGTGTGAGGCCGGGGTGGGTCTGCAGGTGATTCTGGAGTGTGGGGCTGGGGTGGGTCTGCAGGTGATTCTGGAGTGTGGGGGCCGGGGTGGGTCTGCAGCTGAGTCTGGAGTGTGGAGGCTGGGGTGGGTCTGCAGGTGGGTCTGGAGTGTGAGGCCGGGGTGGGTCTGCAGGTGGGTCTGGAGTGTGGGGCCAGGGTGGACGTGCAGGTGAGTCTGGAGTGTGGGGCCGGGGTGGACGTGCAGCTGAGTCTGGAGTGTGAGGCTGGGGTGGGTCTGCAGGTGAGTCTGGGGTGTGGGGCCGGGGTGGACGTGCAGGTGATTCTGGAGTGTGAGGCCGGGGTGGGTCTGCAGGTGAGTCTGGAGTGTGGGGCCGCGTGGACGTGCAGGTGAGTCTGGAGTGCCGCAGGGCAGGGGAGCTGGGCAGGAGTGGGATGGGAGTGTGGGGGAGGCTGTGAGCCAGCAGGGCCTGCAGATGGCTGCATGGGGGCGTGAGTGTGGCCCCACGGGCACCTGAGGCCTTGGACTGCAAAATGTGAGGCCGCCTCCAAGGCCGGGAAGGGAGCCTTGTGCTGGGGTTGAATGTGGCCAGGGCTGACGTCCATCATGCCCCAGGTGGGAGCCACACACATGTGGGTCGGATTTAACCCATGGAAAGAGAAGACCCCTGGTTAGGCAGAAGCAGGGAGGATGTGGGCTAAGGAGCCATGGCAGAGAGTGGCATGGGAGGGAGGCCTGTGGGGCCAGGTGCATGGCCGGGCATGGGCTCGGGGCAAGCCATGGGGCACGCTCCTCTCGCACAAATGCTGCCTGAGAGGTTCTCAAGCGTTGTCTTCTTAGTCAAATGGAACACGGATGCCACCTTAACCTGAGTCAGGTGAGGCCGTGCACCCACAGCGGGATCTGGACAGGGGCAAGTGCGATGGGCCCAAGTGCTGGTCTAGGAGGTTCCAACTGCCCTGGGCCCCCACGGCGGTGGACAAAGCCCGAGGCGGAGGGGTGGCCCCAGTTAACCTGGCCCAAAGGTGTAGAAGAGTCTATCAAGGCAGCCGAGGGCAGAGGGCAGCACCGCCCGGCATCTGCTCAGCTGTACCCGTGGAGGGCAAGGGTGCCACAAGTTTCTACAGCCAAACAGGGTGCCGCAGAAAACACGGAAAACGCACTCCGCCTGAGATAAAGGCAAAGCTCTCACAAGGCAGCAAGGGAGCATGTGCCAGTGCGAAACCCAGGGTGCAGGTATCGGGCGGGAAAATCCTAAGCAGGATGTGTGGAGACGCCACAGGGAAATGAGAAGAACCCGGAGAGCCGCTTAGACACTGACTTTCTGCCTTCAGAAGGCGAAGCCCCAGCTGCGTTTCCACAAAGGGTCAGGGCCTTTCAGCTAGGGAGGAGGCCCTCACCACAGCGCAGACACACATGGGGCTGGGGAGACACATGCACATGGAGGGGGGACACGCACATGGGGGGACGGGGACATGCACATGGGGAGGGGGGACACGCACACGGGGGTGGGGACACGCACACGGGGGAGGGGAACACACGCACATGGGGGAGGGGGACACACGCACATGGGGGAGGGGGACACGCACACTGGAGGGGGGGACACGCACACAGGGGGAGGAGAACACACGCACATGGGATGAGGGGGACACACACACTGGAGGGAGGGGGGACATACGCCCACGGGGGTGGGTGGAGGAGGACGCACACACTGGAGGGAGGGGAACACATGCACACGGGGGTGGGGACATGCACATGGGGGGAAGGGGGACACACACGGGGAGGGGAACACACGCACATGGGCACCCACCTCGATGCCGCTCTGGCGTGCCAGCTTGACGGCCGTGTTGTAGTAGCCGCAGCGCAGCAGGTGCTCCACCATCATGCGGTCCATGCGCTTCCTCTTCCACACGCTGGCCGCCGCGGGCTGGTCGCTGCTGTGCTCTTTGAGGTGCTCAATCCGGCGCTTGCACAGCTTGGCGCTCTCGTCCTCGGCCTGGATGGACTCCACCGCCTGAGCCACACACAACAGAGACCCGGTCAGGACAGGGACGCCCTGCAGCCCTGCGCCAAGGGAGGCCAGGCTGCCCCAACCCACAACACTCACAAGGAGAAAAGCGGGGATCGCAGGACAGGGAAAACCATGCTCTACCGAGTCCACCGGGCAGCTGTGCCTGGTCCAAGAGCTGCAGACCGAGGCAGTGAAAAACTCACCACCTTGATCTGCAGCTTCTCTGTTAGTTCTGCCTTTATATTAATGTACCCTGAAGCCATGTTGCCAGATGCATGCAACTTCAAATTTGCTATGCCTTTCTGGTTAAACTGTTTATCGTTAGAAGGTGACTTTAAAAAATCTTTTGCAATACTTTTTTCTTAAAGTCAATTTTGTTAAAAATGAATCGAGCCAGATAGAAACGTTCCAGGCCTGCGCTGCCCAACACAGCTGCCACCGGCCCACGTGGCTGCCACACACTGAAGGGCAGTGGTGCAACTGAGGAACTGAATTCTTCATTACAATTTACCAGCACGCACGGCGACTGACTGCTGGACAGATCCAGGACTCGGGCTGGCTTCCTTCAGCACATTCTACGAATCTTGGCTTCCAACTGCTGTGCAGAAATCAGCTGTCCTTCTGTCTGTTGCCCCTTTGGAAGTGATCTTTTGCCCTTAGTTGATTTTCAAATATTTCTTTGTCTGTTTTCTTCGATTCCACCATGTCAGTTTATTTTCACTTACCCTGTGTAGGATTCTGACCTGGTGGTACTCATCAGTTCTGAAACCTTGGTCACTCTCCTGGCACCATCTCTGTCCCCACCCACTCGTGGGCGCTGGTGAAACACACCACAGGTTTCTGTTCTATTCTGTGCTTTACTCTTGCAGCCACTTTGATTTTTCGATCTCTGTGTTCCATTCTAGATCGTTACTTCAAACCCACCCTCCAGTTCACTAATTCCGTATTTAGCTTTGTCTAACTGTTAACTGTTAAACTGTTATAGGCAAACGTTGAGTTTTTCACTTTTGTTATTATATTTCCCATTTATTGAAGTTTTAATTCATTTTAAACTCTGAATCTCTCTTTTTTTTTTTTTTAGAGACAGAGTCTCTGTGCAGGCTGAAGTGTAGTGGTACGATCTCAGCTCACTGCAACCTCCAGCTCCTGGGTTCAAGCAATTCTCCTGCCTCAGCCTCCCGAGTAGCTGGGACCACAGGCGCACACCATGCCTAGCTAATTTTTCTGTATTTTAATAGAGACGGGCTTTCGCCATGTTGGCCAGGCTGGTCTTGAACTCTTGACCTCAGGAGATCCACCTGCCTCGGCCTCCCAAAGTGCTGGGATTACAGGTATCAGCCACTGCACCTGACCAATCACTTTTTTTTTTTTAAGACAGTGTCTCGCTCTGCTGCCCAGGCTGGAAGTACAGTGACAATCTCTGCTCGCTGCAGCCTCAACCTCCTGGGCTCAAGTGATTCTCCTGCCTCAGCCTCCTAAGTAGCTGAGACTACAGGTGTGTGCCACCACGCCTGGCTAATATTTTTTGTACAGATGGGGTTTCGCTATGTTGCCCGGGCTGGTGTCAAACTCCTGGGCTCAAGCAATCTACCTGCCTCGCCCTCCAAAGTGAGCCACGGTGTCCAGCCTTAAATCACTTTTTATACTTTCTGTTCCCTGCAGAGATTTTCAAACTCTTTTGAGATAGGGTCTCACTGTCGCCCAGCTAGAGAGTGCAGTGGCACAATCATGGCTCACTGCAGCCTTGACCTCCTGGGCTCAAGCAATCCTTCTGCCTCAGCCTCCTGAGTAACCGCTGGGGCTACAGGAGGACACCAGTACCCTTGGCCGTTTTTTTATGTTTTGTGGAGATGGGGTCTCCCTATGTTGCCCAGGCTGGTCTCAAACTCCTGGGCTCAAGTGATTCTGCTGCCTCAGCTTTCCAGTGCTTTCCAGGTGTGAGCTACCACGCCCAGCCTATTTCTGTTCTTTAAGCACAGTAAGGTGTGGCACCTGGCAGCCCCCACCCCTGCAGTCCGTGCAGCCCTCTGTCTACTGTCTGCTGGGTCTCCAACCCACCGTGGTGTCGAGACAGGGTCTCACTGTCGCCCAGCCTGTCTCTGTGCTGCATGTTGGACTTGAAAACTAAGAACCTAAGAATCATCTTATGCCCATATTGAAGGTATTCTCCCCATGAAAGACTCTGAATTGACTCTACCCAGAGCTGGAAGGCACCACCAGACTCCAGCCGGGACCACCTCACTGGAGTGAAGGCTAAGGGTCTCCAATCACCCCAGTCCTCTGAACCTAGGCTGCAACACTGTGTCAATGCCAGTCCACTTCCGGTACACCCCACCCTGAGTGTAATATTGTGGGGTCCCAGCTTCTCTCCACTGGGCCCCACTTTCCTTGGCCTGAGTCATCGGTCCTTACCTCCACCTGGCCTGGCCAACACCCTGGGGGCAACAGCAGTCTCTTGCCGCTCACCTCTGACTCCCTGCCGGCCGGTTCTGGCCTGGTGATTCCTTTCTATTTCATATTCTATTGGGTATTTTTAGTGTGATGTTTCAAGATATCTTATCCCACTTTCTGGGTGTCTTCAGTGGGCCAGATTAGTCCCAATGCCCCTGTCCACCAATCCCAGTGACAAGTAACTCCACACTCTCCTTGGAGGTGAAATTCCATCTAAAAATAATCAATCAGCCCAGGTGCAGTCTCATGCCTGTAATCCCAGCTTTGGGAGGCCAAGGCAGGTGAATCACCTGAGACCAGGAGTTCAAGACCAGCCTGGCTAACATGGTGAAACCCCATCTCTACTAAAAATACAAATATTAGCCAGGCATGGTGGCACGTACCTGTAATCCCAGCTACCCGTGAGGCTGAGGCAGGAGAATCGCATGAACCCAGGACGTGGAGGCTGCAGTGAGCCGAGATTGCACCACTGAACTCCAGCCTGAGTGACAGAGCGAGACTCTATCTCAAAAAAAAAAAAAAATCAATCAACCTGCTGTACATCCTGGCCTCCCTGTGGCCTGGGCTCTGGACACTCCTGGAACGAGACAACACGGTCCCTACAGGAAGAGGAAGCTGGCCTGCTCAGCCGACAGTGGCCCCAGAAGGCAAGCAGCAGGGAAGAGGGCCCCCAACCGCACCTCCCGCATTCCCACCATAGCAGCTTGCCTGTCTTAGGCCTCAGTTTCAAGACAAAAGGGGTGTCCGTGCCCCCGGCCAAAGAGGGACCGCTGGGCGGGACCAACCTTCCTCTTGAGGACGCTGAGCTTCTCCACCACGCCGTCCAGCAGGCTGACCACGGAGTCCACGGCGGGGCAGCCGCTCAGTGTCTTCTCCAGCTCGGCCACCACCATGGTGACGTGGCTTGTCTCCCGGTCAATGTTCTTCTGAGCGGCGCGAAAGCGTTTGTTCAGCGTCTCGTAGGGCACCTAGAGAGGAAGGAGGATGGTGAGGAACCGCTCCCCTGGTGTGAGCCCCACCAGCCCCACACCGAGGACACACCACGTCTCCTCACGGCACTGTAGAGGCAGAAGTCTCAGGAGGTTCGTGGTCTCAAAGGATCTACTCTAAACCTCAACCAAGACCCACAAAAGCCCTGGTGAGCGGAGAGCCACTCCACATCCCTGGATGAGAAGCAGCCCCAATTTTTGCCAAAAACATTGTAAGTGTATGTAGACAAAATAATCCCAAAGTTCATCTAGAATAATGAACAGTCAAAGAAATTTCCAAATAGGAGAGCAGTGACCGGGGCGTGAGGCCATCAGACGGTAAAACACAGGATTGGCCAGTGATCAACTAGGTTGGTGCAGTTGCAGGCGCCACCACACAAGGCCGGGCCGGGCAGGGACAAGGGTGCACGGGGCGTGGGCTCCACACAGGTTGGGGTTGGGCACAGCAAGCCTCAAACACGCAGCTGAAGCCACAGCGCGCAACTCACACCCTCCTGCACGAGAGCATTTGCCTTCCCCACTCATAAAAATCATCCATTCCCTATGGAAAATAATCTTAACGTCATCGTTAGTCTTCTGTCCCTCTGGAGAGAAGCGCTGCTGAGTTCTTCTCTGCCCTTTCCCTGTGCTCTACGGTTTGAAAGCAGCATGAATGACAGAATCACGCTCCAGCACTCCCCAGCCGCCGTGGCTGGGCTCTGGCAGGAAACACTGCCCGTGGTCGTGGTCCTAGCTGCGCTGGCAGCCAGCAGCTCACCGCACAGCACGTCAGCAACATGGCCATGCTGCTGCCCGGGAGCAGTGGGCCCAACTCTGCCATCGCAGCTGTGCTGGAACAAGCGCTCCACCTCTGCCTCATCTCCAGCCGTGCCCAACCATGGGGGACAGACTCTCAGGCACTGCCTGCTCCCCCGGCCCTGGGCGGGCCTTGACCTCATGTCAGCCACTGTGCTTAGCCGTGAGGTCACGTGAGGAAGGCAGGGCTGCAGTGAGGGAGACCTGGACGCAGCTCAGCACGTGGGCTTCCCAGGACTGGGACAGCCAGGGCAACAGAGACTGGACTGGCCTCAGCCAAGGAAGGAGTCACACAGCAGGGCTCTTCCCCGACTTTCCCCCCGCAAGCAGGGACAGGAGGCGGGTGGCAAGGCCAGCTCTGAGCCATTCCCCCCGGCTGCCACTCCCCACTCAGCCTGGCCCCAGCTGCCCTCCACTCAGACAGCCCCCAGGGCCGACGTGGATCCACCACAGGTGACAGCGTGCACACACTCTCATTCACACCAGACAGCCACACAGGAGGGCATGTAAATGGCAGCCAGCATCACCGTCTGCTACCAAGCAGGACTCACACTTACTGGTGAGCAAATGAGTCTCAGGATGTTGAGAAGGAAGGCAGGGAAGCTGTCAAGCTACCACACGTTTAACCAACTCACAAAGCAGTGACAACACGAGATGGACTCGAAGCCAGTCACTGTGTGTGGCATCCGGAACCAAGCTTGCTGGTGCCACGCGGCCTGGGGGTCCCATCACCCACACTGCCCACCTTCAAGATTTCTCCCAAGGATTCAGCACCGCTTAGGAAAGATGGGAGAAATTATTTTTCTCTGCTCCACATCCAGTGATGGGAAGTCACAGCAGACAGCACTTCAGCTCTCCATAAATACCTGACCAGTGCAAGCAAGCTCAACGAGACCCACTGGGGAAGGCCCCAAAGGCCCCCGAGGCCCTGACACCACAGCCGGACAGCGGCCCGCGCCGCGCGACTCTCCCACTGGAGACCCCATCTGAGCGTGTCCTGCCACGAGGTGGAATTTCTAAAGGACGCAAAGCACACTCAGTCTTTGCTCTGCTATGCGGGGTCTCACACGAGCAGGACAGAAAGTCTTCGCCATTAGACAGACAGACAAAGAGGCACAACCACCCTCGCTCGCACGGAGGAACCCACACAGCATCCACACACCAGCACATTCCAGACCTCCACCAGGAAAGCAAGGCCTCTCTGGACGCCCTCAGCTGCATTCAAGTTCTACGCGGGAACGGGGCCTTTCCGGACAGTCCAATTCCTGGAGGGCCATCCGCCTCACCGCGGTGCTTACGCTGCTCAGGCACAGGCCAGAGCTCCGGGCAGCTGATGTGCTGCAGACAGGAACTCTCAGCGCAAGGCAAAGAGGCCCTGCCCAAAACTCGCCACGGTTACGCAGGACGCGAGCATGAAGGAGGCGCAGGAGGGGCTCACCGGGGCCATGGTGTCTTCCCAACTGGGAAGACCCCCACCTCCCTGCCAGTGGCTCTCAGGGTCCACGTCCGGCCGCTTACTCCTCAGGCCTCCCACGCCTCTGCGCACGCTCCTCCCACCTCCCTCCCTCCGCTCCTCCTCCTGCTCCTCCTCCAGCGCTGGCCTGGGGCTACCCAATCTGCGTTCAGGGGATGAGCGCCGCAGACCCTCTCCCTCCTGCGGGGCAGCTGCTGACCACGCCCCCCAGAGACGCCAAGCCAGCCCCGGAAAGCAGCGCCTCCTTTTCCGGGGGACCCAGCACGTGACTCCCGGCCCTAAAAGCTCCCCTACACTGGCCTGAGCCGGCTGGTTAGCAACACCCGCTTCACAGGCTCCTTAAAGGGCATTTGGTGACCGAGTGAGTGGAATTTCAGAAATGCTGAAGACTCGAACTCGAGCCAAATTATCACTCAAGAATGAGGACAAACTGAAGTTACTTTCAGATATGCAAGGGCTGAAAGCTGAACACACACAAACCTTTCTGGGAGAAAAACTTCTCAGAAATATCGCTTAGTGACCAAACACAACAAATCCATGGAGAAAGACACAAGAAACAGCACTGCGGAGAGGGGCCAGCAGATTGTAAGACACAAGAAACAGCACTGCGGAGAGGGACCAGCAGAAAATACAGCTCGTCCAAATGAGGACAGGCAACCTAACAGACTGTATCACAAGAAGAACTGTGAAAAGGGGCAAAGCACTAAAAATAGATTCCTAATAGCACAGGCAACAGAGACAAATGGGACTACATCAAACTTAAAAATTGCAGAGCAGGAAAAACCAATAGAGTAAAAAATGGGAAAAAATAGCTGCAATCCAGGATCTGCATATGAAGCTACTATCCCGAATGCACTTTTAAAAACTCCTACAACTCCACAACCAAAGGAAATCTTCAATTTTAAAACGGGTGAAGGACTTAAGACACTTCTACAGAGAAGATAAACCAATGGCCATCTTGCCATACATGACAAGATGCTCCACACGACCAACCACCCGGCAGACCCAAGTGCAAACGTGAGGCATCCCCTCGTGCCTGCTAGCACGGTGATCGCTAAACACCAAAAGCTACGCCATGACAGGAAGCGGAGCAGCGGGACCCGCATGCAGGGCCAGGGAATGTGCCCGGCGCAGTGTGGAGAGCAGCGAGGCAATTCCTCAGAACGTTAGGCACTGGGCTCCTGAGTCCCCAGCAGGCCACGAGAACTGAAGGCAGGGTCCCAGGAGGTATCTGCACAGCTGTGTTCATGGCAGCCACGAGGCAGAAGCAACCCAAATGTCCATCACCAGGGGAATGAAGGAAGAAAACGTGGCAGTCACACGCCACATAGTGACATTTTGGTCAACAACAGACCGTACAGGTGATGGTGGTCGCATTAAGATTAGGACACTGCATTCTCACTGCATCTTTTCTATGTTTCAACATGTACGATGCAAACCACCACCATGGAACAGCCGCCTGTGGTATTCAGCACAGTGACAGGCTGTACAGGTTTGTAGCCCAGGAGGGTTGTACCACGTGTACACACAGGCTGTACCACGGTGCGAGCATGCAGCAGCCACACCGTCTGGGCTCCTGTACAGGTTTGCAGCCCAGGAGCCACAGGCTGTACCACGGTGCGAGCATGCAGCAGCCACACCGTCTGGGCTCCTGTGAGTTAGTTCGTTCTGCGATGTTCGCACGTGAAGTCGCCTAACGATGCATTTCTCAGAGCTTTTCCATGTAAGTGACACATGACTGTATCTGCACATGTAACGGTTCATTTCAGGCATCAACTTGATTGGATTAGGGATACCTAGAGAACCCGTGAAGCATTACTTCTGGGTGTGCCGGTGCGGGTTTTCCAGAGGAGAGTGGTGGATGAGTGGGAAGATGCCCTCCAGGTGAGTGGCACCACCCAGCCCGCTGGGGCCCAGATAGAACAAGAAAGGTGGATAAGCAATATCCTCTCCCTCCTGAGGCTGGGACCCTGCCCTTTGGCATCGGAACTCCAGGGTCACTGGCCTTTGGACATTGGGACTTGCACCAGCATCCCCCGGGGTTCTCAGGCCTTTGGCTCTGGACTGAGCCATGCACCAGCTTCCCAGGGTCTCCGGGGTGCAAGTCTGCTGGGGGACTCAGCCTCTGTAATCACATGAGCCGATTCCCCAACAAATCCTCTCATCTACCGATATCCAGTATGAGTTCTGTCTTCCTGGGGAAAACTAACACAACACACAGTGGAATAGTATTCAGCCTTTTAAAAGAAGGCAGTCCTCTCACACGCTGTAACATGGATGAATCTTGAGGACCTTCTGCTAAGTGAAAAAAGTCAATCATGAAAAGACAAATCTGCATGACTCTGCTTCTGTGAGGTATCTCACACAGTCCGACTCTTAGACACAGAAAGCAGAATGGTGGATGCCAGGGGCTGGGGTGGGGAGGAGGCAGTTTTGTTCAATGGCTATGGAGTTTCCAGTTTGCAAGATGAGAGGGTCCTAGTGATACAGATGGTATGACGGTACTGTGTGCTTATGGTACAGTGTCTATGCTATAAATGGATAAAGTGGTTGCTGTATAAAATGGTTGATGGCAAATTTTATATATATGTAACATTAATAATGTCTTAAATTTAAAAATGTTAAAAATATTCTAATGAATTTTGATAAATGGCACCTGATTGCAAGACTTCTTATAAAGCGAGAGTGATCAAGCCAGTACAGCACTGAT